ATCAGAAATTCGAAAAGGAAATGGAAACAGTAAATGTCACATTGTGTTATTTCTAAATATTATTTGAAGGAAGGAGAAAAGAAGTGCAATGTTGGTGTCTGCCCTAGCTGGGCGCTTCCTGGCAGAAGCTTACCTGCTGCACAGGGCTGTGTGATGGATGTGCTCTGCTCTCTGTGGCTGTGCAGGCTGCCATCGGCTCACACAGAGGCACACAAAAAGGCGTCAGCTTTCTGTCAAACGAGGCACTGGAAAAGCTCTTTAAGGGATCTCTTGTCCAGCTCTGCTTCACATTTTAGAACTGGCCTCATTAACCAGTGTTTTGGTGCGCTTTCTCTCAGTAGCAGAAGTTTCCATCTCATAAACCCAGCATGCTCAGTATACATCTGTTCTTGAGCTAAAACACAGAGGAAGACTTTTCTCTGCCCCCTGAACAAATATGGTAACAAAAGCAAAAAGTATTCTCCTTTACCCTGGGACATGCGTTAGCTGTGCAAGCCATTCCTCTTGTGTCTAGATGAGTTGATGCTCACAAGTCATGGTCAGATAGGAAAAAAGGGCCTGGAGACCATAACAGCTCTTTCCCTCAGCTGCATTTCTGTTCCTCCATCTGAGGCCCCTATAAGCGTGTATTGAGGAGGGGAAGAAAAAACAAGGATGGCCATGTATCGTTAGGTGCATTTCTTGTAAACTAGATGGCTGTCAATAACAGCTAATTCTTACAGGATTTTATTATTATTATTATTATTATTATTATTATTATTATTATTATTATTATTAAATAAAATGTTTTAAAAGGAAGATGGCAATAGTGCTGGACAAGGAGGAATTCTCACCTGTAGTTCTGAATTTGTTGTGTTCTCTGCATCCCAGCCTGGATGTTAAACTCTCTTTTTGCCTTCAGCATATAGCTGGGGAATGTAGCATACTCCACTGCAGCTATCTGACATGTTTCTAACTTTTAAAAATATCAGTTCCTATATATTTTATTTTATTTCATATTTTATTTCAGTTTATCTGTATATACAACCCTTCCATTCAGTACTGAACTGCAGCCATTCCCCTGCATGTCCATGTACTGGGGAAAACCCATACATCTCAATTCTCTCATCAGTTAAATAAATGGTGGAAAATACATGCAAATACTCACATTATTTACAAATAATTGCTTTAAAAACAATTTTTTTTATCCCTACATTCAGCACTGAAAGCGATTTGTCATTTAATTTCATCCCTGTTCAGCCTGTAATGGTAGGGAACCTGCTTAGCAGGGAATTGGACTCAATGATTTCCAGAGGTCCCTTCCATCCCTGTTCAGCCTGCAATGGTAGGGAACCTGCTTTAGCAGGAAATTGGACTCAGTGATTTCCAGAGGTCCCTTCCAGCCCCTACAATTGTGTGATTCTGTGTTACTGCCAGAGACAGACATTTAGTCACAGAATGAAGAACTGAAATCATCAGGTACATGTGGACACCATATAATAAGCTTCATTATTAAATGAGAGGTGAAAGAAGAACCTTACCAAAATCAGTTTGGTGATGGATTTGCTCTTGGCGTTCCTGGATGGAATTGTCAATACAATGTGAGTAGCATGGATTTAGCAGTTTGGCACTGCCAACTTTAGGTAGAGGGGATACCATCTCTTCAGCAACAAGTGTCTTTTGAGTGATGGAAGAAGGAGAAGGCTAAAAACATGCAAAACTTTGTTTCAGCACACATATGGAAGTCAGCAAATAGCTGTAAGCTTTTCATGACGATGTTCAGGTGCACTCTTTGGGAGGAAGCAGTACATATTTCCTTCTGAGGATGCTCTGGGGTGTGGAAGTTTGTGTGTGTGTGCATGGCCCTGATGGGGATGCACAAACCTCCCTTGCTTTCTGAATAGAGTCTGTCACAGGTATCTACTGGACTATATACTATATACTGGTATATACTGGACCAGTATGCTGAGGTGGCCATCCTGACTTGTATCACAAATAGTGCAGCCAGCAAGAACAGGGAACTCAATATCCCTCTGTACTTGGCACACATAAGGCTGCAGCTAAGTGTTGAGTTCATTGTTGGGCCTCTCACTACAAGAAAGGCATCAAAGCCCTGGACTATGTCCAAAGAACAACAAAGGTATGTCCAAGGACAACAAAACCGATGGTAGGTCTGGAGCACAAGTTTTATGGGGAGCGGCTGAGGAAACTGGGGATGTTCAGTCTGGAAAAGAGGCTTAAGGGAAACCTTATTATGTCTCTCTACCACTCCCTGAAAGGAGCTTATGGTGAAGTCGGAGTCGACCTCTTCTCTCATGTAACAGCAATGAAATGAGAGAGAATGTACCAGAGGAGGTTCAGACTGGACATTAGGAAAAATTTCTTGCCAGAAAGAGCAGTGAGGCACTGGAATGATCTGACCAGGGACTTGGTGTTGTCACCAGCCCCGGAGGTATTTGATACATGTGTGCATGTGGCACAGAGAACATGGTTAGTGGGCACATTGGGAATGGGCTGACAGTTGAACTTGGTGATCTTATTTAGATCCCTCCCTGCTTTTTGTGTAGAGTGAGAGCAGGCTATCAGGGAACAAGCAATTATTCATCTTCTATGAACACTCCAGAAATCAGAAGGAGCTGATGGAGAAGATATGTCATAATCAACCCACAGGACACACACTCAAAGTCCCATTTCTAGCAGATAAGGAGGCACTGAAGACGGTTTGTCCCACTGACCACCTCCTGCCCCCAGCTCGTGTCAGTGCTCAGAGTCAAGTGCCAGCAGTGTGCACATGCTGAGGTAAGGAGTGCAAGTATGTAAGCATTACTGAGAAATGGGATCTGCCTGGTTTTAAGACTAAACAGGCAATGAAAGAAAATACCAAACCAGAAAGCTGTGTAACTTAAATCTGTAGCTTTAGGATTTATTTATTTTTTAATATAGATCTTTTTAGATTAGTCCAGTTTTTATTCAAAAAAAAAAAAAAATAAAAGAAAAAAAAGAAAAAAAAATATTTCCCTGAATTTTCAACAGGACTGTTGGTTGCAGATGTGTCGGTTCATGGATGGTCACATATAGATCCCACCCTGTTCTACTTCAAAGATCAACATGATGTAGGTGTTCTGGCAGCTAAACAAGGATGTGACTTTCTTCACAATTTCTGCTGAAAAGTGGTGACGTTTAGCAAATGTGTACAAGCTTGTCTAGGTAAGACAAGAATCAGATTAATTAGACTTCAACACTGCACAGATGACAAGCCATGAAAGCACACCTCCCTGTGTCAGCACTTCCAACCATGAGCAGAAGCTGACTGATCAGTCCTCTGCTGTTTTTACTTTCACTTCTATTGCATTCAAGACAACTTTCTAGCATCACTAAGATAGCCATCCTTAAAGATCAATGAAAGTTGTATTGAAAGAGCCCTGGGGAGATGGGTCTCAGTTTCCTTGCTAGGCAGCAGTGCAGTGCTTTTGCTCTTTTTTCTCCATCCTTTGCTCTCTTCTCAGCAGTCTCTTTGGCTGTGGGCAGCCATCATAATTCCTGGTATTGTGAAAAACTGACAAAACAGTCTGATTTACCTTTTAAAAGTGTATTACAACCAGAGGTACCATTTTTTAACGCTTCTGATTATTTTTTGAGAAATTAAATCACTCTTCCCCAAGCACAGGTCAGCAGGTAAGAAGCCTTCTGCGGAGCATTGACTGATCTGCAGCCTCCCCCTTCACCTTCTGCCTGCCCACAGGTCTCCCTGTCCAGAGAACGCACTGCTCAGCACTCTTCAATTCAGCCTTTTGCCCAGAAAAGGTTTCTGCTTTTCTAGAACTGCCTAAAACTTACTACTATCAAAGCAGCTCTTAATATCCTGACTTAAAGCTACTTATCAGGCCAGCTTGAGTTCGTAATTTTTACTTAACAGAGATTGGTTGATGAATTGGGTGCATCTGCTCAATCTTCATCTGAATATGACTGGATGTTTGGCAAAGCGCAACTTTTAGATCAGTTTTCCTGAAGAAGCATCATTTCACATCCCGGTAAACATGATGACAGATTCATTAACTTGTAAGGCTCTTCGTGTATTACATTTTGATGATTAATACAGTATAGGATTATTTAATGTACATTTAACAGATTAAAAAAGAAGTTACCTATCTATCTGACAGATTTTAAAGAGTGTTCAGTGGGGAATAATCACCAAACATGAAATGTCCCCAGTGTTCTGTTGTGGCTGGCACTGGGACCAGCATATTGCTCCACCAATGGATCAAACACAGCCATTTGCATTTAATTTTGCATATGGCGCAGGAAGTGATGAAATGGCCACTCACACAGACAGATCTGCTCAATCCCTGAAAAACAGAAAAAAACCCAGAACTTTTCCATACAGACAGTTAAAGCTGAATACAGGTCTGTATGATGAGTGCCATAAACACACCTGCCAAGAAACTGGAGATGAGTTGCTCTGACTTCACTGCTGTTGGCCACAGAGGACCACGGTGTGATGCTACAGCCAAGGGTTCAAAACAAATGCACAGGGAAAGGGCATTGAGGCAGGGGGCTGCTGTTAACTCTGCACATAGCTTTCAGGAACTGACCTTTGTCAATGCAGATATTTAGCAACACGATGTAGGAAAGAGCTTCAGCACTGTTTGAAGTTATGCATTTTAAAGAATCATAGAATCATTAAGGTTGAAAAAGACCAGTAAGATCATTTAATCCAATGGTCCATCCATCCCCACCACAACCACTGACCAGTTCCTCAGTGCCACATTCACATTGTTCTTGAACAGCACCAGAGACAGTGACTCCTCCTCTCCCCTTAGCAGCTTGCGCCAATGCAACATCACTCTTTTGGAGAAGAAATTCTTCCTAATATCAAACCTGAAGGAAGGAAGCACTGGCACTGAACTCTGAGACACTTTTCAATCAGAAACCTTCAGTAGGCATCAAAACCACAGTAATAAGCCATGTGAACTAAGCTTTTTTCCTAAAAAAGAATTAAACAGCAGCAAAACACCCAAGGCAACTGTTGCATGTCATCTTTGGTCATTTATTTGCTATGAGTCACATTCTGAAATATAAGAAACACTCAGGAAAAAGTCTTTACAGATATCACCAATCTCTTTGTACACAAAGTTCATCGTTAATACACTTGTGTGCAGTAGTATCACTGCTGTCAAACAACAGGTATGTGTTGGAGAAGCTGTAATAGTTAAATTTGGTGTAATTCTACTCCTTTTTAGCAACTTTTGACGCTTTAGCAACAACTATAATTCCAACTACATATCACAGCATGCTGTGCCTATTTTGTTTTTACCAAACATTATGCTATCAACAAGCCAACAGCTGCTCTGGGCAGTACTTGGTGTCTGTATGTGTAACAGCGCTGTTCTGCAGCCGCATGTTGTAGGTGGAGAGTGTAGAGAAACTTACTAAAGGCCTAAGAAACTGAGGTTGGCTGAGGACAAACTTCTGTGAAGCACGCTGGCTTGCAAAACATGGAGGGATTTTAAAAGGAGACAGTTTAATCACTTAATAGAGCTCACTTCATTGTGATCATGACTTAAAAAATTGCTATTCTGGAAGAGAATAGGTGCTCTCTAATAAATGAGATGAAGCACATAATCTTATGTCAAATATGATGGAAATATATTTAAGATTTTTCAAGGATATGTAGTCTGCAAACATGATTATACCTAAAATTGAATATGTATAAAACTGACCGACGTTAAGAGCATAATAGGTGATCCTTACTCAAACTGAGAGAACATAAGGGAAAAATATGCCATCATATAATTGAAGACTGATACTGTATATCAATAATCTCTAAGCTAGAGTTAGATGTGGAATATTATGATGTAATTAAGGAAAATTTTTATACAGCTGACATACTTTTCATTCCTTACAAAGTATGTGCACAGTATTTCTTTCATCACATCCTGCAACAGGGAATACTGAAGTTTGTTGGTCGTTAACTTCACACACAACAAAAGCTTTCTGAGTGTTGCTTTTTCACTCCAACTCTTTCACTGTAGGAAACGCAAAAAGGCACAAACAGAAACAAATCCAATATGAACTGGCCCTCTATTCTACCAGAGCAGGCTGTTCTGCATGCACACATAAAAATAATAATCGGTCATTAATAAAGACTAAACATTTGTAAAAAAGGTCTGGTTTGAAGACCAACCCAGTCTGAGCATCTTCAGTAGATTAATTGCTATGAGATCATATGTCTCTGCTGCAAAGACTAAATGGAAGTTTTAGTGTGCTGCAAGCCAGCTGCATCAATGTAACTTATTCCTCCTAGTCAAGCAACGTCAATTTCAGAAGCAGTTATTATCCACACCCTTTCTTTTAATGTTCTTTTTTTTAAAATAATATAAATCGCTACTATAGGAGAACTGGAAATGTTGCTAATTAGTACCTTTCCTCTGAAGGCTAAGATTCTGAATTATTCCTGATCTTGTACTGAATCCATTAGAAAAAATAAAATCAGTTGTCCTTATTCTAAAGCAGCATTTCTTTCTCTTCCTTAGGAAGGGAAAAGTTAATCCTCCACTAGAAGTGTATATTCTCAGATTTTAGTCTGATCTAAATTTGTACCAGATCTCTACAAAGATGCATGGCAGAAGGATAGTCATTGCTGTATAAATCTGTGACAAGAGTTCTCTAAAATACGCAACTCTTCCACACACCCAACCTCTCGCAGCACAATTATACAGCTCAGCTGCTGCATGAGCCTCAGTACCTTTAAAGAACAGCACAGGATTTTCTCTATTTCTTAATTAATTAAAAGGACCATCTGATAGAATATGTAGCATACAATACTAAATTAGGTTAGAGGATTAGTTTGGAGGATTTATCATGTGTAGTTTGCATGTATTCACAAAACGGAGAACAAAATTCTCACATTAAATGGGCTGTAATTTTTAAGGAGATTCATACTTAGTGTCAGAATCTGATGCCCAGTACATACTTAAACTGTCTTGTCTAATCCTTAGCAAATTCCTCCGCCAACACAGCTAGATTTATACCACTACTACTACCAGCATCTGGATTGGAGAAATCCCAGGGGTGTTACCAAGATGACTTTATGCACTGCCAACGTATAGGATTTATCAAATCACGGCAAGCCAGCATGAGGCAGAGGAGAGCTGGTGACATCATCACTCATGCTGAAGGTGCATTTGGTCCTTTACAGCATCACTGGCCTGGGGGGCAGGAAGATGCCCCAGTCATTGTAAAGCTCCAGTCAGTGACACCCACTAGGATGCCGAATAAAAGCCAAGTGCATAGGCCAGACTCCTCAGGTTGGTCTGCATAAACAAATGTGGCCATTAGCGCCCTGTAGCATCATAGTGTACTACCAAACTAACAAAGACAAGGGAAGTGCTACCACACTGATTCTATAATTGAAGTTTTATTATCTTCTGTTTTTAATTTTACAAGATGTGGTTAGGTAAGATGCAGAGAAGACATTTGTTTTCCCTGCATATTTGTTTACTGAAAGACAGTTAGAATATTGGTTTTGTTAAAATGCAGTAAATTATGTAGGTACGCACTTTTCTAAGGGAAAAGCTGCTTGTTAGATAGTGTGTAACTCAGTTCAAGGTGTTCTACCTTTAGAAACCAAACTCAACGATGGCACCAGACTGGTGACAAATATTTCCAAGACAGAAAAAGTAAAGATTAAAACAACACAGCACCTCCTGAAGTGCTGTCATGCATCCAGAGATGTCTGACAGTGAGAAGGTATTGTGAGTGGACAGATTTTGCCTAAAAATTGCATTGAATCAATGCATCTGACTTTCAAGTCCCACTAGAAGAAAGTATTGATGTAATGGGTGATAATAACATGCGCGGCTGTGACATCTCTACTTCAGTTACCAGAAAAAGTATCAGCCAAATATCGTAGGTTAGCAGTCATGATTTAACCTGGTTATGGAAGCTACCTATGGAAAGGATTTAAGCAAAGAGCTAATTTGCCTTTACCACAGTTTCCAGAGTTGCTAATAAAGCCTTCATCTGTTCTCCAGGAAAACCACACATGTATGCAGATACCTCTTCAATAAACTGTGGTAGCTTTTGGAAAGTTTCTAGCTCCTTAAAGTATGTATCTACTAACCAATGTGCAGGAAATGTATCTTCCATCTTATGGCTATCAGCAGTCATTACTAGAAGCATACTTGAATGAGCTACCTCTCTGAGAGTTAAAGTAAAAGGTGAAAACAGATTATAAACAGAACAAAAATTGAGCAGCATCTTGTTAAATAAAACCAACCACAACTCTTTTTGCTGACTGCTGACATCTTGTTGTATACGTTTGTTGAAACTTTCAATTTTCTCTTCCGGAAGAACAATGTTCAGAAGTTCTTGTTTTACTGGCAGGGACTGAACATAATCCAGTGGCAATTTTCCATTGGAGTCCCTATGCTGTAGAAGGACTGGTCCTGAAGGAAAAATACAAATATTAATAATAACATGTTATGTTTGGCAGCTGAGCAAGATGTTAATGTTTTGGGTTGGTGAGGTTTGTTTTGCCAGAAACTAGGAGTCTCTTTAAATTCCTTTTTGCACTAAGTTATCTTCACACAACTGATGAGGTAGAATTAGCAACACAATTTAGATGCAGAGAAAAACATTATAACAGTTTTGTTATGATATTTTTATGATTTTCTCCCTGGCTTTCCTACAGTGAAAAAACGAAGAATTATTATATAGAACTGTAAAAGAAGTTAAAATCTATCTTATCCTAAAATTTCAAGTTGCAACACACAGAATATGTAAAAAGTTAGCTAATGTTATCACTGATGCACATGATCATCAAGGATTTTACAAGGTAGGTTAATTGCTGACACTGTCTGAAAATTAATGGCAATTTACTATGATGGTCTTTACCTTCCTGGGTGGTGTGGCCAACCTGGTATTAGGTTATGCAGAAAGGTAAACCATTGAGATAGGAAGCCTAGTTTTTCTTAACTAAGGTACAAATTCATTTTGAGTAGGTTTCTGCAAAAATTAATTATTACCATAATAAGTAGATTTAAAGAAAGGAAATGAGACATGTCTTACTTGTTCGGATTATAGTAAATTCTTTCAGCACTTCCTGTTTATTAGTACAATGAAGCTATTAAACAGATTACAGTATGTCTTACAAGTTTAAGAAAAGCCACATAAAAAAATGAAGTGGGATGAAGCAGCTTTAGGTGATACTTTTCAAAGGTGAAAACAACATAAATCTGCTTATGTAAATCTGGGTTACTATGCTAAAGCAATGATGCAATTTTATAACTTTATGTTTTCAGAAATGTATTTTAATTACTAATTAATTACAACTTTTAAAAATTACTAATTAATTACAACACATGACATATCTCCATTGCAGGTCTTAGCTTTGCTACGATTGAAGTCACAGATATAAAACATAACTTCTGCAAGTTAAAGACTTCTTAAGGGAAAGAAATGGAAGAAGCTATTGCTTAGATATATTCTAAGTTACTGAGCTGACTAAATACAGACTGAAAGGGTAACATGCTTATAGTCTTGTCAGCTACCTGACAGGCCAAAACCCTGAGTATGACAAAGGCAAGGATAAGGGTGAATGCAGCCTTATAGTTGCCAGAAAACTTTGATGAATGCAAGTGCAAGTAGAACTCTTCCCCTAGGACAACAGGATCCTATTCCTCACAACAGCCTAGGAAAAATGCACATCTGTCAGTGCAGTGCCACTTCCAATTGAGGAGCTGGGCTTAGGGCAGTATTGGCTATTGCATCACTTAGACCGACGGAACTGAGCCCGGTATTGGCTTGGCATGTCAGATGCGTGGCTCAGTAGATACACAAAACACCTGGGAGCTCCAGAACTCAAGCTCAGCAAACACAGAGAGGTAGACCTGCTGAGGAATGTATCGATCATGAGCCAGTGCTTGCAAACAGACAGAAATAGCCTTTAGGGGGCAGGAGAAGACTGTAAATACAGAGGGTCATATGCCAACAACGAAATAAAATTTTGTTTCTGCAGCTTAATTAAGTAATAGGCCATCTAAATACAGTGTATTATTTTACCTTAAGGCTAGAAACAGAATCATCTTTATTGAAAAAGTTTAGACTCATCATATCATGCAAAGAGACTAAATTGACACAGTAGGTCAACAGTAAAGATAGTGCAAATTGTCATTTTAGTAAACTAATTAAAAGAATTTCATATTGAAGATCAATCTTCTATTTTTTAAAAACAAAACGTGTTAATTATCTTGATACAAGATATTTTGAAATGAGATACAACCAGTTTCCTGTCACTGAAGAAAAAACACTGTTTAAAATATTTACCATGGGTCCACCTAAGGGACAATGTGTTTTTCTTAGAAACTAAGACATCCCTCCCACTATTATCCCTAAACAGCAGTTACCACAATTACAATATAGATCCCTTTCTTAAACTAATTACCAAGTTAATTGTGTTCTTCAAAGACCATCTCATTAATTTTCATAAATGCTAAATAACTTTATATTGAAATATGTGATTATAAAGAGATTTAGTGATCTATTTTTGCATTATGGTAAAAATAGGTCAAAATAAAAGAAAATCCTTAGCTTTGCTTGGTTATGAGGTAATTTTTATCTTCATTAGTTACTTAAGAGGATATAGTTACAATGCAAATGGAATAAAATGCAGAATAGAAACATTATCATCTTGGAAAAAAAAGTGAAATCTCTCATTAATTTCATATTTGGCTGATCAAGATAAATGTGAGAACAGTACCAAGGTACCTTGGCTTGAAAATATTTTAAAATAAATGTTTCATACTAACACTTTGTTTTACATAACTATTAATCAAAGCACCACAAACTTCATAAGCCCTTAGAACAGGGTTATTTCCCTAACCCAGGCTAGCATAAATGCACTCACCCCCATGCCGAAGCAGCAGCTTGCCAATTTCTACATGTCCATTTGACAGTGCATCATGCAAAGGAGTCACCCCGTCCACTTGACTGAGCAGGTCTACCTCTGGACAACGCTGCAAAATTTCACTGACACACACTGTGCTGCCATGGTTACAGGCTTCATGCAAAGGCGTCCAGCCAGCATAGTCTGAATTATAAATCAAGGGAAGTTTTAAAACAGCAGAAGTAGTATTAAAATGTTAATAATGTAATTCATTAGACAGCGAAACAGTTTACTTTTTAGTATTCATTAAGGTCAAAGTGGTAAACTGAAAAGCATCTGATAAAAATTAAATGGTATTTTAAAAAATTGATAGGAAATGTGATGTTAAAACACGTTTCAGCTATAAATTAATCTTCCAGCCATTTCTGGTATGAAGTCCTTATTTTGTATTATTTAGAATAATGCAATGTTTGCAGTATAAATGCAAACTTTACTCAGAGAAGTATATTAATACACTTCCTTATCTGGATTAATTTCTTAGTTCTGTAGAGAAAATGAATAACTTACCTTTAGAATTAATGTCTATTCCAGGGAAAGAGAGAAGCTGAATCAATCTCTCCACTTTGTTTCTTATGCAAGCTCCATGCAGGGCTGTCTGTCCTACCATAAAAAATTAATAGATTACACTAGACTAGGCAAGATAGCAACTAGAGAAAATAATCAAAGTGCCTGGAACTAGGAGACCTGGCTATATGCCAGAAAATTCAATAATGAGTAAGATTTTCCTTTATCCTGTTTAACCATCTTTTAAGAAAATCCAAAAAACAAAACCAAACAAAAAACAAAAAACAACCCACAGAGCTTCTGTTCCACCACAGATCCAGCAATGAAATTGTATTGCAAATGGTTTAACACAGGAATTATATCCCCCCAGTTCAAGGTTTAAAGCTTCAATCACACTATAAAAGCACCAAGTGATCACAGAACACCAAAAACACTGGGTTTTGAAGCAATAAAACTTTAGAGTGCAGTTGCCCTCCCTTCAATTTATTCATGAACCTACGTTAAAATGTATGGTTCTTTTTACACAGCATTTATAGCTTAATTCAAATGAATGTTTCTGGCTAAGCATGAGTGCCTCTACACACTCAAATATAATTCAGAACTTCAAATCCGTTAACAGATGGTTTGCTGTTTCTCAATAGGCTGTCTGACTTGGCTACAGTAGCAAGGGAGGGGGGAAAGAGGGAGAAACAAATGAAGGGGTCCTAATAATAATAATAATAATAATAAAAAGAAAGTCCTCTGAAAAAAAATTCCTAGCCTTAGTATCGCATAATGCAGAAGTGTGAAAAACTGAACATCAAGAAACTGAGAACTGCTGGTTGTATGTAAAAACACAATTAGTCTCCGCATGATAAAAAGTTCAGACCCATTCTGAACACTGTTTTGCTTTCACTACATGATTAGGTTTGAACAAGAGCCAGAGAAGAATCTTGATGCCACGTGAAAGATGATGCAACAAACATCTTAGAAATGAAAAATATCTCAGGGTAAATCCCTCGGCATTTGCAATGAGATTAACATAGTGTATTTTGTTATGTCAGTACCTTCATTATATAAATCTGTCAGCTTCATACTCATTCTTTCAACAGTAGATACTACTTAAATTTTGGCAGGGAAAGAATAAAAAAAAAAAAAAGCTCTTTTTTTGCTTTCTTTCTTTCTTTCTTTCTTTTTTTTTAATGCCCTAGTCCTTCAGCTCACTTTTCTTTCTAGAAGACAGCCTGTAATAATTCACATCAATTTTACTTGCAAAAGCAATAAAGAGAAAGAGAACCAATTTTAAAAATGCATGGTCTGGCTCTGTTACTGAAGCGCTCTTAAATCCCAAAAGAGAGTGAGGTTTTTTTTCTCCTTCAGTGTTTGTTATACAATTCTGATTACAATTTTTTGAACAATCCCGGGTTGCTTTCACCAGATTTTGCTAAGCCTAGGTGTCATGATTCATATAGCTGTGTTTTGAGTGATACAGCTAAATTTCTGATGATAAAGATGAGAGTTCTAACAAGTACCTCATTCTGTTGAGGTAAAGCCTCATGTAAAGCACAATTTATTAGATCTGTGTAATAAGTAGGAACTGAATGAATTACTGCAGTGCTGTTTTATTCCTTAGGTACTTGGGTTCCAGTATAGCTAAGACAAAAGCCAAATGCCTTTCATAGTCTGGGCTGAATGCCTAGAAGAAAACAGTCCATATGCTTAACACAGCTATGTAACGTAGCATACTCCTCAGTCTTTGTTCACAAAATGTCTAGGACTGAAAGCGGTGAAGACTGAATTATACTTTCAAATCAGAAGACGTTGATCCTACCAAGCACAGGTTGAGGTGGATTAGCAAAGTAAGACGGGCAAGACTGGAATGAGCTCACACAAGCTGTACACCGTATTTAATATCTAGGGGGGGAGGGGAATGAAGAAGGCAGCTTTATTCAAACATATATACAATTCTTCCTTTCAAACAGACATTGAAAAAAAGGGAACAAGAACCATATGAAAATAATTTTTGGATGTAAGCATTCATCAGGTCAAGATTTTTTAATCTGAAACCATCAGTTCTAACCATATAAAGTCTCCAACACAGATTAGATACATGGAATACCTTTAGCATTTCTCTTGTAAAAATGCCCCTCTTCAGCCCAAGGGGAACAATTCTCTTTGGTGTCTGAAGCCTTGGCTCTCTTCCTTGTACCGCACTTACTCTCTCTGAAAAAAGAGCTAAGGGGACACATCTAAAATCTCCACTTCATATCTTTTATGTATGTACTTAGTGCCTTTAAAGTATATAAACATCAAACTTAGACTTACGCATTTCTGAGTTATTTCTAGAATGTCCTAATGACGTAATTTTCACATAATTTAATTATAACTGTATTTAATACAGCAATAAAATTAAATTATCTATAATTAAACTTTTTTAAAAGGTAATTTTGTGGATTGTTCAACTTATCTGTGTATCCTTTACATCAAATATTGGGAAAATATGACTACTTTCGTTTGCGTAAGTTGAGAAGGAGGAATGGGAAGGAAGGGGGAATTCCAGCCCAGGGGTTGGACTACAGGTTTAAAACTGAGCTTTATGTCAGCTGTAGTAATTTGTAAACAACAAAACAGGTCATTTAAAGTTCAAGAAATGTGTCAGGTCAGAAGCTGTCCCCCAGAGCAGAATAAAATTGGTGATGTTACAGGCATTACTTACGGTAGATCAGGCAGCACTTTGACTTGGTTCTGCTCATCACCATTTAGCATCTGTAATGCCCTCTGAGGTGCAGGGCATGGCCAATGCCCTATTTTCTTTTTTTTATGTACTTTTCTTGTCTCACACATCCCTGCCTCCCGCAAAGCAAGAAAATAGGGACCGACCTGTTGCAAAAGTAATATTTTAATGTAATTAAAAAGTAATTAACTTTTTGATGTAGTCTTTTTTGCTGTATTTCTTGTAAAACTGCCACCTACCACCCACACCCTATTTTGCACCTTATTTTTTATAAACATGATCCTTCCATGACTTGTAAGGATCTTGAATTGTATAGTCTACTGTAATCTGTATAGATTGCTTAATGTCATCTCTGTAATTTATTTACTTTCTTAACTATTGTTCCAATTCACTCCTGTAAGCTGGCCTCAGTGGTGAGTAAAGTGTCTGGAAAACGGAAGATTTTAGATCACTTTTTTTTCCACAGCTAAGATTTTCATCTCTTTAGCTGGACGTAAGACTGAAACAAAGCTAACCGATTCTAAGCTACTTAATGGAAGCACGTACAAGCTTTCTTCTCCCAGTCCACGAAGAAAAACCCAGGGAGCAATATGGCAAAGAATCACTCCCCTCTTTCAACCCTTCTAAGCTGGATGCTGGAATAAGCTTCTTGACACTATGAAGGCAATAAGCTAGTTAGTTAGCTTTATGGTGCTCTTTGTAGAAGTTTTGGCTTTTTTCTAGCAATACAGAGCTTCCAATCCAACCTTACACCTCTTTTTAAAAAGTCATGCAAGTTTTTTGCATAGTCCTGTGAGGGAAATCACTCAATAACTACACAATCATCAGCTTTCATTAAAGAAGGCTTTGAGTACGTCAGAGATCGCTACAATTCTGCAAGTCACTTGCTGTAGAGGGACTTTTTACAGGCACTGTAAGATTATCAACAGCAAGTAGGAAAGCACTCTCTGGATATACTGAAAAACACAGTTGATAAGATGCTGTGTGAAAGGAAGGTGCAAAATTGGACCAAGTTGATACTTGTTGTATGGAACAGGAATGAAAGAATAGTCGTGGTAAGGAAAGCCACAAAGATCACATGAAATATTTTCAATCTCTTCAAAATTTTTTTTCATTCAGAAGCAGAGATTGATCAATAGTCATAGTAATACTAAAAACAGCAATTGTTGCTGTGTATATGTTGACAACATTTGTTAAATACTAGATCTTGTTGGTTATTTTTAAAATTTTGACAGTCTTCTGTTCATGTTCTGTTTCTATTAATAAAAAATAATCTCTGTTCAGAGTAAATTCCTGTAGTTTGAGAAAACTTAGGTATGGAGTAATTTATAACAGTATAACTTTGTCTTTCTTTGACTTAATCTATACAATTTTACGTCATATAGCAAGTTATGAATTTCTTATTCTCATTAGTCTTTACCATTAAGGTTACTGCAAAGTGGCTCCAAATTAGGTCATGTCATTCCTGTGTGGTCTCCCTGACTTGTGACTATGGTCTTCCTGACAGTAACTGTGGGTCTGAAAATTCAATTTGTATTTCCTAATAAGCAATCACAGTTTGTGACTCTGAAGGCAAGATAAAGTCTACAAGTAGAAGAAAGTTTTTAAGAGGACAGATTCATAGAAATATACTCTGGTTCAGAATCACAAAATTCTGTATCTAGCAGCAAAATAATAGACTGTCACTTCTTCAAAAATCTGAAAGAAAAAAGATCCCTGAAAAACTATGCAATATTTTGCATTTTCCTTAATTACAAATATAATATTGCAATAAATGATTCACATCAAAGATTACTTTAAAAATCGTTCATTTTGACTTCTCATGATAGTTGCAACAGATTAATTTTACAATATGTTACCAATTCTTTAGCAAGAAAATTTCACCACTGTTTTGAACCCTGCCCTCAAGCAAAAAGAAACACAAATGCAGCAGTTTCCACAGGTAGAAGTGTATACATGCAGTGAACATGATTTCATACCACAAAAGAAAGATGTTTTCCAATACTTTAATTAATTATAATTATTTTTGAAGCGCTTAAGTGTGCTAGGTATTAAGGAGTGTAAGAATTACTTACTATTTTTTGAAGAGAAAGAGGTTCTGTAGAAATAGTTACATTTCTCTGTAAACACATTTTTTTAAAAACTGCTTCAGCAACAAACATTTGAAGCCAGAGGGATGGTATGGAACAAATGAACATTTTAATATCACATACTGAAAAATCTGGATGAAGGCAAAGAGAAGAGAAAGAGCCTTAAAATCAGTATATACAAACCTATACATGTATAGTCGTCTAGAATATATATCTTACTGATTTTTAATTCTTCAATTACAGATTTGTAAGTTATTCTCCATGAAATTTACAATAGTCTTATTAAAACAGATTTAGAATCATAGAATCATAGAACCACCAAGGTTGGAAAAGACCTAAAAGATCACCCAGTCCAACCGTTCACCTATTCCCAATAGCTCCTACTAAACCATGTCCCTCAACACAACATCCAGTCTTTCCTTGAACACCCCCAGGCTCGGTGACTCCACCACCTCCCTGGGCAGTCCATTCCAGTGCCTGACCACCCTTTCTGAAAAGTAATACTTCATGTCCAGCCTGAATCTCCCCTGCCGTAGCTTGAAACCATTCCCTCTGGTCCTATCACTACTGGCACCCAGCTCACTACAAGCTCCCTTCAGGAAGTTATAGAGAGCAATAAGATCACCCCTAAGCCTCCTCTTCTCCAGGCTGAACAACCCCAGCTCCTTCAGCCTCTCCTCATAAGCCCTGTGCTCCAGATCCCTCACCAGCTTTGCTGCCCTTCTTTGAACCCGCTCCAGGGCCTCAATATCTTTCTTGCAGTGAGGGCCCCAAAACTGGACACAGAACTCAAGGTGCCACTTCACCAGAGCTGAGTACAGGTTTACCCATCACCTGACAAGAACACCAGCTATATAGAAAAGTCAACTTATATTTGCATTTAAAATGCAAAGGAACACTTCTTACTATGCCAAACATTCAAAAAACCCACTCAAAATACAGTATTTTAAAACATATAGCTTGATTTTGAGATAAAATTATTAATTCAGTGAAATTATGCAAGTGATTTAATTTAAAATTTCACAAGACATAATACAAACACAATTCAAGTTAAAAAAAAAAGTAACATGAAGAAAAAAAATCTGTCTCAGTTATGGACAGGAATTCTATATTAGAAGTGACATTACGCAAATTCCAACATTTTTCAGATGAACCTATCATCAGGCTTATCTTTGGCCTATCTCAATTTTTTTTCTTTTGCTTTGTTTTGTTTTTTAGAACAGGAATGGTGGATACTGAAGCACACTGTATTGCCATAGTGTTAGATTTCTGAGAAATGCTCACACAGAAGGTTATCAACTAACACAATGAAACAGAAGAACAAGTTTTAAGGGTACAGATATCTTCTACTCTAAACTGACAGAATCTTACAAGAATTCTGTTATAATTTTTCATAAGAGCCATTGTCCAATCTGTAGGGATCACCATTCAGTAATTTTTATTCTTTATATCCTATGAAGACTGTTTCCATGCGTACTCTGAATGGATGAAGAAGCACATAAAAACACTGTTTTCTATTTGTAAGCAAGAAAGTGAGAAAGTAATACTGAAATTTATTTACTAGATTTTTCCTAATATATTTTCTAATATATTTCTAGAGCTATAAAGTTCTAGAGAAACTGCAAAAGCTATAGAACTAAAAGTACCATTGATATAAATACTATAAAGTCCAACTGATCTGGGTTTTTTTGTTGTTATTGTTTTTAATCTAAGACACATTAAAATGTGTCTAAGAAATGTTATAATGTTCCCTAAGAAAGACCAGAGTGGAACTAGCTAGAGAGTAAGATTTTAGTTTAATTTTTTTCAGTACAAATCTTCTCAAGTGTCCAGATAGAAGCACCAGCACTTTACATGAAGCCTATCCACACCTGTCTCTAGAGAAAATGATGACTGATCATATCCTGAAATCAAGATAAAGAGGTAGAAAACCTGAGTTACAGTTTTCAAAACATTTTCGAATTAAAAACAAAACAAAACATGGAAATACATTTTGAATATGTAATAGAGAAACATTGAGAAGTTTTTCTAAGATTACTTCTTGTTCCAGTTGAGTTCGTCTTCCCTACAAGCTGAAACAATAGCTACTGCAGAGGATATCCCATTTAGTTTTAATCATGACATTCATATTTATCTAGCATAATGTTTAACCCTGTCTTCTATTTTACATCAATACCTATAGAGATTTATTTAAAAGGACTTTAATCAGAAAGCAGTTCTGGTTAGTCTTTGCTTGGAAGAGACACAAAGCCTGCCACATACACACAGATATACACAGATCTAAGCTGTTTCCTGCATACATATGCATCACATTGTACAACTGCATGGCTGCAAAAGAAAGTAAAATATAACTTGAATGCAAACTGGGAATTTTAATTGAGGGCTCCTTAGTATATCTGATTAAGATTCTCAGATGCATTTCAAATACTCACCATCACAGGCAATGGCAATGTAGTGTGCTAAATCATCAGCTATTTGATGAAATACATTTCTGTCCATAAGCAAAGCTGAGACGATCCAATAATCCACTACAGTTCCAAGGATTGCATTTAATAGACAAGCTATTTCATGTCTGAAAGCCTAAAAGGGAAAGAAAAGAGTATCTAAGGACCTGTACTGTACAGTAAATTCATGCTGATAATGTAACAGTAATAACACTGGAAAACATCTTCAGATAAAAGCCCACTGTGTTGCCATATCTTCTTCACTGATATTTCTTTTTCTGTTCAAAAGCCAACTGCTGAAATCGGGTCAACAAAACTAATTATGTCACTGAGGCCACAGCAATTAAGATTTGGAGAAATACAAATTATTTTGAAACACAATTTCTAAAACACCATGCAAATTTCAGGGATCTTATCCTTCTTGTTCTATCAGAATTCTCTTTTCCTAAAGTTACCATCACAAAATCAAAGGCCCTGTTGTGATCAATCACATATACCTATATCAAAAAGGAGCCTGGTTGGAAAGTTGAAAGTATTACTCTCCTGCACAGAAAAAGTATGGGAGATTAGGATACTGTATTATGATTAAAAAACAAAACAAAAAAACAACACACAAAACCAATTAAAAGAGCAGTAGCATTTATAGAAGCAACAGAAGAAAGGACACTAACCTTACCATATTCTCTCCAGAACCTGCAAGAAAGGCCATGTGCAGATAAAGAAAGCAAGGAAAAATGTATCCATTGTGGAGGGAATACATGAAATTAACATCACAAAATTAGCAGAACTACCTAAGTACCACAGAATCGCTATGGCTACATTTCAGCACCTGCTGATCCACTGCATTCTGGAAAAAGAGAATGCATACTTCACAACAGTGAACACAATTTTGGATAAGAGGGAAATCAAGCCATATACATGTATATTGGTCAGTTTTTGACTAAGGAATAAGAAACAGAACTTTTCTGTCTTTTGTTCTGCTCTCACACCACAATCAACTGTTTTTGTACTCTTTTGAGAACAAAACATGTTCAGGGTTGGTCTAAAACTTTGAAAGTATTTCCTCAGCAGCTGGAAACCGCCAATGACTGAAGAAGTTTTAGGTTCATCAAGAACACAGACAAAGCCAAAAGAGATACAGATGAGATTTATCATAAAAGGATTACAAAATCCCAGTTGACATGGAAATTGCTACCATGTGCAACAAAGCTTCATCATGCAAATAAATAGCTTCTGCTTTCATACTCCAGAGGCCAAATCTTAAAAAGTCAAGTCACTTTTATAGCTTTACAACTCTGTAGCTGTTTTAAACTTGCAGTTTTCCTTAAATTTAGTTGATATTGTAATGATCAAATTGAAATAAAGAAAAAAATACATAAAACAAAAACTTTCAGCAACAATATTTTTAGAATCTAAGAATAAATTCATAGAAAGCTGAGTGATCCCTCACCGATGCAGATCAGTAACAAAGTAAGTTCAAAAGAGCCACTTAGTTATTTGTACACATACAAAAGATATTTAGAACATTATATCAAAACTCTTATTCTGAGCAGAAAAAACAAGTCACTCATATAAATAACATAAGTTTCTGTGCTATTGCCAAAGGGAATTTTGGATAAAGTAAAAATACTTTTACGTGAGAAGTCTTCGTTTAATGCACGATTTAGTTAAATCATGTGATTATTGTTCACTGGAACACAAGACTCCAATCAGCCAAATTCAAGAATATTTGCAAACCACTGACTTTGGCTCTACCATTTATTATTTGTCTTTTAAACAAACATGAACCCAGTTAATTTTTAATGCTTCGTTCCTTTATATATCATCAATGAAATTGTTTTCGAAACTACTTGATTGTCTCTCTTTTCCTTATAAAAAAATACTTTTCTAAAATTCCTAAGAATAATGAACTATTACAAACAGTAGTTCAAATTATTCCGAAAACATTCTTAACAGAACTGCAGTTTTATTTTTACTTACAATACCCAAGTGGATCGGATTGGCACTAACTTCATTTTCTTCACAGCAGCCTCTGTGGTGCTTTGCTTTGAATTTGTTCCCAAAACAGCATTGATAACACACAGTGTTTTTCAATTTCCAAGCAATGCATGCACAGCATCAAGGCTTTCATATTTTTCTAATACCTGCTTGCAAGGCTAGGGAAGCTAACTGGGAAAGAAAGCCTTGATGCCTACTTTCTGGGGACATACAAAGGACTGGGAGAGGACACAGCCACAGGAGACGACCTCATCTAACAAAAGGTATGGTCCATAGCTTATGACATCATACTTAACATGAAAATCTTGTGGGGAAGAAGAAATGGGGACATCTGGAGTTACAGCATTTGTCTTCCCATGTAACTGCTATGCATGCGGAAGCCCTGCTTTCCAGGAAGCTGCTGGGTGCACGTCTGCCAATGGGAAGTAATGAATTAACTCCTTATTCTTCTGTGGTCATATGCACACCTTTGCTTTACTTTCTTAACCATCTCTGTAACTTCTCATGAGTTTTATTGCTTTTGCCCTTCCATTTCTCCCCCCTCATCCGGCTGTGGGGAGAGTGGCTGTGCATGAGCTTGCCTGCCAGCTGCGGTCAACCTTTTGCACCATACTTAGCTAGCTGAATAACATTCAGTTAAACAATTTTTTTTTTATCAAAGCCCTCTTCTCTGTTGTTAATGTTGAGAATCAATATTATCTCATCAAGAAAAAGCACTGAAGTGGCAAGAGACTGTTGACTGTGTTAGTTGTATCAGTACAACTGACAACTGCTATTTGGCAAAGGCAATTCCTGTACTGCTGTTACATTTAATACTTTCCTCAGTCAACTACAGTGTTCCAGCGAGAGAGGTTTTAGTACACATAAAAGTTCTCATTGGAAAGCTTTTAAGTCGTAAGAAAATTCGTCTTAACTTTTTCACTTTGAATTACAGGAATTTTAGAGATGCTTTTTAGAGGTTTTTTTTTATGAGGTGCAATGTTTTTAGGGTAATGCAGAACTCTGAAAGTGCCTAAAACATACTTCCAAGTGTTAGAAAGGACATCAGAAATACGCAATATGATGCAAATAAAAAACTGAGTGTATCTCTTTTACACTCCTTTGTCAGATTATGTAAGACCAACTTCTAAAAGGAAGAAAAAAACCCGCAGCTGTGGGAGGAAAGGCATTTTGGATACCATTACAGATACAGTATCACTGTGAAAAGATGCAATAACTGAATGGCTACTGGGTGTTAAGAATAATAACATGTTTCTAAGTTCCAAAGCTAAGTTAAAAGCTATATTTCAAGAAACCATGTTTCTCCACCAATCCTACTTGCTTTTGAACTGTGTTACGTATAGAATTATTTCTATGATTCTATTATTTTAGCCTGATACTCAGTATTGATTTAAAAAACCTTTAGAGTAGGAAATTCTACATTCTTTGCTTCTGCATTTTTATCGGCAAGGATAATTTCCTATAATTTCCTTTTTTTTTTCCATCGAGTTGTCTCAGCAGATTAACACAGCAATGAGTGAGGATACTCAAATTCATGTCACTAATTTTATTTTTATTTAAAACAAAAAAAATTCTATTTAACACAAAAGCAAATCACAGAATCGCAAAGGACCTTTGGAGATCATCTAGTCCAACGCCTAAAGCATTGGTAAGATTCCCTCTGTCTTCTCCAGACTGAACAATTCAGGTCTCTCTGCCTTTCCTCATAAGGGAGATGCTCCAGGCCTCTAATCATCTTTGTGGCATCTGCTCTCTAGAAGTTCTCTGCCTTTCTTGAACTGGGGAATCCAGAACTAGATGCATCTCTAGTTGTGGCCTCACCAGGACCAAGTAGAGGGGAAGGATCACTTCCCTCACCTGCTGGACATGCTCTTTTTAATGCACTCCAGGGTACCATTGGCTTTCTTGGCTCCAATGGCTCACTGCTGGCTCATGGCCAGTCAGGACACGCTGTCCATCAGGACACACAGGCTCTTCTTCACAGAGCTCCTCTTCAGCTCCCCTGACCTGTACTGATGCATGTGATTATTTCTCTCCAGGTGTATGACTTTACCTTTGCCCATGTTGAACTCCATCAGGTTGCTCTCCACGCAACTCTCCAGCCTGTCCAGGTCTTGTTAAATGGCATCAGAGTCTCCTGGTGTGTTAGCTACTCCTTCCAGTTTTGTATTATCAGCAATCTTGTTATCAGTCCAAGTAATTCAAGATGCTGGATACGACTGGACCCAGTACCAACCTCTGAGAAATACCACTAGCTACAGTCCTCCAGCAATACTCTGTGTTGCGTATCACAACATTCTGAGCTCTGCCACTCAGTCTGTCCTCAATGCACCTCACTGTCCTCTTGCATATCCCACATTTCCTAAGCTGATCTATGAGGTTATTATGGGAGACTGGGTGAAAAGCCTTGCTGAATTCAAGGTGCGCTGTCCACTGCTCTCCCCTCATTTACACAGCCACTTCTAACCTATCTGTATACCTATAGTCTCTAATCTGTGTAACCATAAGTCTTTATAGCCCCTTCTCCTTTCTTTTTCTTTGTTTCTGATACAGGCTATAAGAGACCTGGAAAACGAAACAACTACAGAGTACTTATTCCAAGAAAAACAGCAGCTCTCATTCAGAATTTCAGCATGAAATTTCTTACTTACTATAACTGTTTCTGGATTGTTCTTTTTACACACATATATCTATATATGATTACATAAATATGTTACACATTTTTTGCAACAAATCTGGAGGTGAAGAAATATATACTTCTTCCCCTATAGTGCTGACTTGCTACAATCTCTTTGAATCACATAAAAATAGATGACTCTGACCTAAATATCTAAAAAAAAAAAAAAAAAAAAAAAAAAAAAAAAAAAAAAAACAAACAAACAAAACGCCTCACTTTTACTGCTTAGAAATGAATTTGTTAGATTTGGTCCTCGAAAATTTTATGGAATTATTTCTCTGTTTTCATTCATAGGTATTTTCACTGGACAATTGCACAGAATTTCAACAAACTGCAAGCTGTTTGTTTCTTTCCATTAGCTAACAACCTTGTGTAAGTAGGCAGATATGGTCACCCCAGTAGTACTGTACTATCAAACAATTTATCTGATATACAGATAGAAGACTGCCTAAGCCACTCCTTTGATTTTGATTTCTAAGTATATGGTGCCAATGTGCTGCCTTTTAAGTAAATAGCTTATTAAAAAGAAAGTAGTAACAGTGAATCATATCCTTAATATGTATGAGTGAAAAATTTTGCACGCAATATGCTCTATTACTGGCATATGTTATTATATATATGTGTCTTTCTAGAATGGTTTAAAAAATTAGAAGATGAATAAAACACATTTTTCTTCTGATTGCATAACTGCGGAGAAACTGGTCATTTGGCTCCTTTGATCTTTCCAATAATGTTATTTAAGTCTTTGAACATACAAAAACATCAGTATTTCAAGTTTTAGTATAACAAAATTGAAAGTGCTGAAAGCAATGAGTTCTGTATGTAAAAACACAGCATATTGGTTTAGAATTTATTTTTGTCAAAGAATGCAAAGGAAAAGAGAATGTGTTGTCAACATGCAAGACTAAAGGATAATACTGTAGTATAGAAATGCTGCTTTTTAGGAGTAGAATTTGCATCTGCCGGGATATTGTACATTATAGCACATAACAAAGCAATAGGCATTTTGGCTTTGTGACAAAAGTACAATTCTTACATATATATTTACATGTAATATAGTTGGAAATGCTCAACAAAACAAAACAAAACAAAAATCAACCCAAAATCTAAATGAGGAAGTACTATCTTTTATGTTGTATTTTAGTATTCCTGTTTTTTCATGTAAATACTATGCCCAGCCTGCCAGAAGCAATTATTCAGCTTATGCACTGAACAGTTTATAACAAAGGTATGGCTTATAGTACTGGAACTAGTGAAAAAAAGGCATGGTAGAAAAAAGAAAATGGAGTCGACACTTAAACTGCACACTCAACACCAGGAAACATATAAAAGCAGTCTCATTTTCCAAAGAAACAGAATGGTCACTAAAATCAACTGAATGCATTCCTGCCAGGTGCTCAGGACCTTTCAAAAAGTAGGTTGTTTTAATATAAATATGGGTATAGAAGCCTAATTTTAGGTGCTTTTTAATATCTTGACCAAGGATAAAAGGCAGCACTGTTTCAGGATATCTGGCTTTGATAGCACTCAAAAAAAGGTAGGAGGTCTGGCTAGGTAAAATGAGTGAAACACTCATTATCTTTCTGCTATCTTAACATAATGAAGAACTAGCAGCTATTATATTGAAAGTGCTTTTTTCTCCATGACACTTGATTTTCTATTGTTGTTCTGTTATTGTAATGAAAAAGTGAATGAAGTATCTATTTATTCTGCGCTTCCACAATAATTTAAAAGAGAACGTAGAGAGAGCAGTAAGTTTGTATTTTATGTGAGAATCTAGAAGTCAAAGATGTTTTACAAGGCCTACAGCTTCTGAAAAGAAAGAGGTGGTATAGAGGACACTCAGTATCTTTCAGGTCAATGTCCTGCTGGTCAGCAGGTCACAGAACAGCAATTAAGTTGCCTTCAATTGCATTTTTATGAAAAGATCTAGGTAAGATACCAAATGAAACTAAAGAACTTGGGAAGTAATTGGGGCATTTAATAAAATAATAAAATGTGTATTTATAGAAAATAGTAAAAAACTATTTGTTTTCTTAGCTTTCACCTTTCAACATTTCCTGAATACAATCACTGTAAAATAAGATAATCATCTCTTTTGTTACAGTTTATTGTTTGACAGAATGTTTTAAGCTTGTGTCCCTAATGACTACAGTAATACCTGCTGGTAAGGGCATGTGAAGATCTGAATGTAGCCAATAAGCTACTCATGATTCGTTTCTTCTCTGCAGATCAATATGAGAATCTTATGGATCAATTCATTTCCTTTAGTGGAGCAAAAACCAGCATGCTTCACAACAAAAGGTAGATATAACAAGCAGCTGTGATACTTACATATAATTCCTCACAAAGGAATGAACAAAGAAATGTCTTTTAAAAAAACGTCAGTCTTCATTATTTTAAAGCATAAAATTCATACTCACATCATTTTTCCTTTGCAATTCTCTATAGGAGAGTATGACCCAATCCACTAGAATATTTATGTGTTTGGTAAAAAGCACAGAGGTTTCACTTCCCAACCAAAAGGTCTTCAGAAGAACAGTCTGTGGCATTACTTGCTGGTGCAGTGAATTGGTCCCTTCAACCAAACTGTAAAAAAAAAAAAAAAAAAGAAAAAAAAGAAGCATGTGGAAAAACCGAAATCTTTATGCCATCTTGATTACTGTAGCTACTAGACAGAAACTTTATCTTCTGTCAAAACACATAAAGATTTGGTAATTTTTAAGTATGGAAAGATCAGACAATTTCTGATGAATAGTAAGTAAAATAATGATGACTATTAAAGTCAAACTGAAGGAATTGTAATACTGTGCTAATATATAAAGGCTGCCTTTATTACTTACAGGCAGAGCAAAATCAAGATTTCTTCATATTTCATAAACTAAGGAAAGATAATTATCTCCCTAGTGAAAGATAACATTTAATTGATTTTTTTTTTTTAATATCAGTATGTTCAAAATATTGCTTGCCTAACTTTAAAAATGGATATAAAAGCAATGCAAAGCTAAAAATGTAGCTTTATGAGCAACATTAAATGCTTACTGAAACTTGCAATACAGTGAAATAATAACACTGTGAAAAGCTAGAGGTCTTAAAGCACAATTAGGAAAAAAACCAATACCAGTTACAATAAACAAACAGAACTGAGAAATATAAAAAGAAATCTTAAGTGACAGCACTTCGGTGGAAGACAATATTATTACAAACATACAAAAATCAGGAAACAACCTGCTGTAGATATGGAAATGCATGTAAAATTGTGGAAAAATAATATTATCCTATAAAACCTACCTTTTTGTCAGAAATTCTACTTCAGCTTTTACTAAATCAAAGAAAAACTTCAATAATGTTTTGTGAACTGTCCTCTGTTCATCTGCTTTCCCTAAAACTGGGACTGCATGACAAATGTTTTTGCAATGTAGACAAGACCTGCAAAACAAACACCAACAAAATACATTTGTATGACAGAAATGATAGTCTGATCTATTGAGAAAGAAAGTAGACTTGACTTTTGACAATTGTGACAATATCTTGCTCCTTAGCAACATTCATAATTTAAAGCCAGACATTTTGTTTTTAGAGCGAAACTTCTTCCAAAAACTTAATCTGCTTGTTACTGGGGCCTTGTATTATACAGATGAAGATTCTGTACTATAGTGTAAATTAAATTGTTTTCTATGTATCTGTATTTTTATGTCCCTTATTTGAGTTATTCTGCAATTACTAGATGTAACAGAACTTCTTCCAAATCCTTTAACCACATGGTAATCTTGCAGCATTTCACTGATCACTGACACTGATATCCTATAAGCAATTCACTAAGTTTTGAAAGGAATACAGGTTTTGATGAAATCTAATGCTTGTTTGACATGATAAAGGCAATTCTGAAGTAAAGTGTGCAAAATTTTTCTGGCTAGAATTTTGAATATTGGAAGGGAATTGGACTAGATGACCTTTAAAGTTTTCTTCCATGATTTCCATGATTCTGTGAAACATATACAAAAGAAAAAAAAAAAAAAAAAGAGAGAACAGGTATATAACTCCTGGGTGTTCACATTCTGCCAGAAAGTACTAAAAGATAAAATATAAAATCCTTTATCTAACAGATTAATTCTCTTCTGTTCCAGTGGCATGCGACATATTCCTAAGCAAAATCATCAGATGTCCAATTACAGTGATTCTAGCACAGAATGCCCTCAAAGACATAGTATGATTACAATTGCATACATTAATACAGCTCTAATCATGGTTGTATCAAATTATTTAAATGCTAAGACTGTATGACAGTAGTAAGAAGTACATTTCCTCACTCAACTAAATGAACAAAATATTTTCTTTCGATACAAGCTACGAAAAATGAGTTCCTTAGCTGAATTATAGACAAGCTCCCTAAATTTGTTCATGTACAGGATTTAATCAGTCTTGTTGAACACTGTAAAAATTATAATTAAAATCAAAATAGATCATGAAGCTTAATATAATAAATATGATAAAGGCCGAATTTTCCTATGTAACTACAGATACATTACATATACACATTATAGATACACACAAGAAACAGAAATAATACAGAGATTATTATAATTTTGAAAAGTTTAATACAAGTATATCTGTGAGCTAACATAAATCATGTTTGGAAAAACATGACTATTGCATCTAATACCTCACTAAACTTTTTTTTACCTTACAAGCATCTCTATCCAGTTCCATGTGCCTTTCTTACAGATAGGACACTGAAGAAGATCTAAATAATATCCTAACATAGACGTAGATTTCCAAGGAGGATCATGTTGGAGAACAAGGTACAAAACATGACGAAGTTTAGCACAAAATACTGCATCAGTATTTTCCTGTAATAAAATAAGGAAATAATATTGGCTACAAAAGGATCCAATTTCAAGTGACCAATTTAAATCAGTGAAGTTACAGATAATGCATAATCAGAAGCAGCAAAATTGAGTTTACAATAAGTAAGTAAAACAGAAAAACCTAGTAACACTAGTATGTTATTTCAGCTGAACGTATTCAGCTTAGAACAAAGGTTCTTTTCTATTAAGTATTCTGTCTGTAGCCTACTAGCTAAGAAAATATGTTGCAAAAGTGCTATTTCTAAAAGCAATGAAAAAAACTATGGGCTGATGCTTTCACAATATTTAGAGTCTTCATTCATACTATTTGCAAATTAATAATAAAAGCCATTATGCTTCAAATGTCCCCCCTTCTAGATTGCATTAATGCTAAGACATTGATGAACCTGAAGGGTTAATGTGAGGACTGCTCCGAAACTAATGCCTCCTGTTTTATTATGTTGGCCCACAATACCAAAGGTGGATATCAGTGGTATGGCAGTAAAGGTAGAACCTTCCCTCCAATACCACATTACATTTTGTTGCCACACTACAGATGGGAGCAGAGGGGCAGTCTGACAAAATGGTGTTGGACATGGAAAAGCAGATGAAGCAAAGGTGTGTCACTGCCACAAGGAAAAATGGCACTTGCTGACATTCATTGATCTTTGATGAACATCAGTGGCGACCAAACAGTGGATGTGAGCTCACTGAGGCAGTGGTGTGCTTCACAGTGGCAACAGTGGGTCACCTCCACTGCTGCAGTTTATTCTGAGTACACCATGAAGATCTTGTTCATCAGTGGTGAAAATGCATAGCTAGTGGTGGTGACAGTGTTGAGACACAGTGTTTTGTAGCTGAGAATTTTCTCAACCAAACAGTTCTATTGTGCACTTTGTTGTAGTTTCAACAGAAATAAAAAAGAGGCGTTACTTTCAAGCGACTTATATAAATCACTATAAAGCTGTAAGCACTGTAAGAAGCAAGGATAATAATATTTCCATCTTTAACATTTACAATATTTTAGTCTTTTGTAATACTTAAGCATCATGCTCTCACCAACAGGACATGTTTTAGAAGAGAATGAAAAAGTTGAACAGGAGGTAAAGAGTACTTCTGACCAACAGCAAGTTCTATAATCACTTCAGATAATAAATGCTCTTCTATTAATTCCTCAAATATATACAATCTGCCTCTGGACAGGTTAGTATTTTTAACCTGTGAAAGAAATATATCTGTAAGTAAAATAACAGAGTAATAAACATACTTACAAACTCAATTAAAAAAAAAAAAACAAAAAACAACACAACATGAAATCTTTTAAGAAAATAAATGATGGCAATATACAGAAGAACATTAAAAAATAAAACATGAATATTACTTATTGACTGATCCAATGAGCGACTGCAATCTAGAGAAACTTAATTTCCCACTCAGCTGGTTTTTCATTGACAAGAAAATGCTTTCAGAATGTGCTTCCCTTCTTGAGACCCTGTAGCTTGGGTGTAACTTACTCTGAGAATTTCTGCGTAAGAATAACTGCTAATTTTTCCAACATGTACAAGTACATCCTATAGAGAATGTCTGGAACACTATGATAATTACTGTCGTCAAACAGTTGAAGAAAACTGAGCAAAAATATAAAACCATGAAATACATCATTTATGAGTAAACTTCATAAAACTACAAACCATGTATCTATTTTATCTCCCTACTTTTCCTGTAATCATTGGGCATGTCAAAGAAGCAGCTAATGCTTCAGATAGCAAAGTATTGATCCCAGTGTATTTCAGAGCTGTGAAGATCATCTTAATGGCACAAGACTTCCCTCCTATTCTGTGCCACTCAGGACAGTGAAACTATAGATTTCACAAGCTTTCAGAGGACCTAGAAGAATGTAATGGTTTCCCTGAAATGCAGTAAGTGCCCTGTAATTTACCTGTTAATGTCTGAATTCTCAACTTTCAAAAATTTTCTTCCCATTGGTAAATGATATGAAAGAGGAGCTACTGAAGATCTTGACTATGTTGATATTTACATCCCTCCTGTATTCAAAATCAAAGCTACGATACATTGCTGATGGAAACTTCAGCTTTGAAATTCAGCTCCTTTGTTCAACAACCTGAGCTAAAGTTCTGGTAAATTCAAGTACACTGGAAAATGAGAGTAGGGATTCTCAACCAAGAGCAGCAGAGTCAAAACCGTACAACAGTGATTGACCTGCTGGAAATTAAAGTTATGCAGATATGCTATTGCTTTAGTCCCTTAACATCTAGCATACTTCACGGTCTCTTGCCATGAAATTTGGCTTCTACTGAGCAGTAGGCAAAATTAGTTGAGACATTCTACCAATTGTTTCAAAGTCAATTTAAAATTAATACAGGCTTCAGTCCAACTGTAGTTTTGAGATCATGGAGTTTTCTAATATTAGCAAGAGTTCCTAGAAATGTTTTAGTAATAAACAGAAAGAGCTCAGGTCAAACCTGAATATGATCTTCTGAAAGAAACAATAATCATAGTTAAATCTCAGCAGAAGTCTCAGTGAATAAGCTCTACGTTAGCATCAGATATTTAGTTTCTCTGCAAATGCTGCAATTCTTAGATGCCTAACATATGTTGTTGCTATATTAACGATAAATAAAAATGCACTCTTAGATTATTTTAATTAAATCACTGTGCATCTGATGTTTGCAACTCACATTTATTTCAATTTTATTAATCGTGTATGCACTATAAAAATCTTCTCATTATTTCCTTTGGAAATAACAGTTGCAATCATACATTTGCAATGTTAATTATGTGCAAACAGCACATCTGAAAAACAATCATAAAGAAAGTATTTAAGAGGTGTGAAGATGACTTAGCATTTTGTACAGGTACAAGCCAAGGTGACAATCTGATGATTGTACCAGCAGGTCCTCCTACCTCCTGCCTGAAACTTAGAATTCTTGAAAGTTCTGACACTAGAAAATAAAGACGTCATTCACACATTATTTGTAAAGTATACTAAAAAAAAACTCAAGAAAAACAATTCTCTTTTGGGAGACTTTGATGAAAATTATGCACTATCTTTAAAACAGGAAGAAAGTGCAGAATGAATTTTCATCTTATTTAAGGTGTAAGGAAGGACAGAAAACTGGGGAGGTGGAGTTTTTACAGTAATAGGAAACACCTTTTGCAGGACCTCAATATTTTGTAAGCTGTGTACAAAGCTGCTTTGGTTGGCAGTGTGGCTGATGAGGAACTAGCAGTTTCCTGCATAGAACTACTAGTACAAGCACTAATACTATGAGCAGAAGTGGAAAACCAAGGTGCTTATCAAAATAAGCTCTGTAAAGCAAAACGCAGAAGAGAAGCTGTCAAAATATATTAAAAAATACAGAGAAAGTGAATGATAGCGGAACCAGCAAAGCTGAATATAATACATAGCTCTAATCAGTTAATTTAGTTTGCAGATTCTTTCTTTTTTTTACTTTTCCAATACAATTTGAAATACTCACTGGAATCATATTAGAGCAGTGTTTAACAGATTTAAATATACTACCAATAAAAGACCCACACTGAATGCAAAGGCTAGCAATAGATATTCCACAAAGCAATAAAAACCAGTAACATATACATATTATACAAATAATTAGTATTAGATTAAAAAAATTCAAATTAAAAATTATATTGGGTGCAGAATAACAATTTATTTTCAGAAGCATTATGAAATCTAAACTTTTATTGCCTCATAAACTCACTAAACTAAATATTAACATTGCAGTGTAGGACAATAATAAAGGAATGTTGGTGCTTATGTTTAAAAATTTTTTTTCCTCCCCTTCAATAGAAAGAAATTAAATAAAAAGGGAATTCTGTGAAGGCTGGGACTTCATTTCTACATCAAGTAACTAAGTACCTAGTATGGATGAAAATGAGTCTTCAGCTACAGAAAAATGCACCAACCTAATAGATATGCTTTAAGTATTTCCCATTTTTAACCTCTACAGTGATAGAAGTACTGAGAGAGAATGTTTCAACAAATTTATTTAAAGAATTCATTTTTAGTCTTAGAGATAGAATAGGGAATATTTTCGAAGTATTTATTAAGTATTTATTTACTTCAGATAAAGCAAAAACTTAATAAAACCTGGTGCTGACCTTACTCGATTTATGATACATATTTGGCTGAATGTGAAGAAAAATGACAAATGAACTAAATTGAACAATTCTACTCTTCCATCCTCTGCCTCTCTCTCTTCATGAGAGGTAGGCAGTAGTCAGTACTGAACAATAGACTGGAACAATAAACAAATTAATCAGTATCCCATAATGTTCTTAACTTTTCAGTAATTTGAAAACACTTCACAAACTATTTCTTCAATAGCAAATTTCACGATAGAAGAGTGTTTACCTAACTTCAATACAAAATTTCATAAGTGCAACACATGCTCTTTGCAAGAATCCTTACCTTTGGACTGCACTTATTCAGAAAGTCTTTATGAGCAAACTTCTGTTTTGCAGCCTACAAAACAAGAAAAATTCAACCTGTACAATGGATATTGGTAAACAATCTATAAATAGTGCATAAAAAGAAGACCAAAAGACAATTTCTTAAAAAATACATTTTTTTAAATATTCAACAAAACAACCTATTTGTATTTATCTTTTTAAAATTAAGATGGCAAAATCAAGAAACGGGGGACTGATATATGGTCAGTTTTTCTCCTCAGTTTTCCTGTTATTGTCTGCTTCGTTTTTATGCATTTGTTACGTTACTTTTATTAGTCTTATTACATTTGGTCCACTTAACCATTTGAAAGTAAAAGTACTTTCAGCTTTTCAGTGACAAAATATAAACCCTGAATACCCTTTACAAATCGCCCAGAATGTGTATTAGGTGCAAGGATGCATTACTATTCCTGTTACATCCAGTTATGGCTCACTGCTACAATGTTATTAACTCTTATTTCCAGAGAAAGTCCTCTAGGAGACAGTGTCCTTAGGACTGTAATTACTCTCTTCGGACATAACTACGTAATAGTTGAAGAGAAAATAATCTGTTAAGAGGTACACCTGTGATAAACTTGCACTGATTTTGGCTGTGGTGGATTCCTTTTCTTTGTAACATTTTATAGCATACTATGATGTAGTGAATTTGTGACCAAAACAGGGCTGAGAGTGTACCTGAGTGTTAGCCCTTGATGAACAGTGCTAGTACAGTGTCCAGGTCTATTTGGCTTCTTTCACTGCCCTGCCAGCAAGAAGACTGGGGAATTACCGAGATTTCGAAGTCTACCACATCTTCCACACATCTACACCTCCCAATTACCACTATTAAATTTTATTTTGGTTAACTGTAGATGTAGTAAATAAATAGTTCTTAAAAAGCATTATTACTACAAAAGATGGTCAAATACCTAGTTAATTAGCTCAACATCTATACTGAGGGATAAATTTCATTATATATATTTCACAATTTATGGTAACAAAGTATAAGCTAAATGTCAAACTTACCTCAACAAAATACATATGCTTTATCACAGCATTTTTCATTTCAATAAGCTGCATATTAGACTTGTTTCTGTCAGTTTCTTGTGCTGGCAGAAAACCCTTAATTTGGGCAACTTCAGTATTTTGTATATCCTTCTATGCAAAGCAAAACAAAACAAAACATCACTTTTTAATTTCAAAACTGATGCTTTTAATTAGCTTTTATGTAGTGAAATATTTTCTTACATTCTATTGTAAAATCATTGTTTACATGCATGCTTATTCAAATTTGAAGGTTAATACTATGTGACACACAAACAGCTGTGGAAACACATCACTGATGTCATAGGCAGTTACAGCATGAGAACTACCAATGGAAGTTATCTGCCTAATTGACTTTAACTCTGGCCCCATCTGTGCTATTGAAACAAGAGCTATTTCCATAATAATTCCCTTTCAGGACTTTTCAAAAAATAAAACCTCATCTTTTCTATTAGTTGTTAGTTTTAAGGATGTACATACAAAGCTAGTAATTCGAATTTTAGAAGTTGTAGGGTCATTTATGTTAACAGACTAAGAATAAAACAGCTTCTTCATTTTAGGCTGCTTAGAATTTACATAGTTAGATTTTGATAGCAAGGACGTCTGCAGATGTGGCCACTGAGAGAGCAGACAGAAAAGGAGCTGCCCCTTATTAGATCAGAGCCAACTCCAGCTGCTCCTATAGGGAGGACCTGCTGCCGCCAGAGTTGAGTCCTCAGAGATAACATATTTAAGAAAGTGGAAAACTAACGTGAAATGTCAGCTAAGAGAAATGGGGCGAGAAACAAGACAGAAGAAATCCTACAAGGACCAAGGAAAGTGCACAAAGAGGGCAGGAGGTGCTCCAGGAGTGAAGCAGCAGCTCCCTACAGCCCAAGAAAAGCCTATGGTGAAGCAGGCCGTCCACCCACAGCCTATGGGCACTGTGTAGTGCAGATAGAATCACAGAATTCAAATCTCCAAGCGCAGCCCATGGAAAAGCCCATGAAACCTCCTATCAGGAACTGCAGCCTATGGGGGACCCATGCTGGAGCAGCTTGTGAAGAACTGCATCCTATGGGAGGGTCCTCAGGGGTGTGAAGAGAAAGAACAAGAGAAACAAAACATTACAGTCTAAACACAATCCATGCTCCCTACCCACCCACACCTCTAGAGAAGAGGCAGAAGATTCAAGAATGAAGCTCTATGTGAGAAGAAGGGATGAATGGGGTGAAGGTGTTGGCTCATTATTTTACTCTATTGTGTAGGTTGCTCCAAAAGTAATGCTTCCTCTTAACTTCCATGGAAACTACAACAGATGCAAAGAGCACAAGAAGACTATTTGATAAAATTCTCAACTACAAAACACTATTTTTCAACAGACACCACCATTAGCTATACATTTTCACCAGTGATGAACAAGAGCCTGCCTGCTCATAACAATCTGCACCAGTGGAGGTGACCCACTGCCACCACTGCTGAGACACACCACTGTGTTCACACCTCACTCTGCTCACACTCACTGTTTGAAGTCCATCAATGTTCCTCAAGCATCAGTGTAAGCGGGTGCCATTTTTTACACATGGAAAAATTCAATGTCACCCCTTTGCTTCCTTTGCATTTCCATACCAGATGCTATTCTGTCAGACTGCCCCTCTGTTCCCATCTGTCACACAGCAACAAAGAAAGTGGGAAAGTTCTACCTTTACTGCCATACCACGAAATCTATCTCTGATGTTGTGAGTCAAATTAATAAAATAGGAGGCATTACTTTCAGAGCAGCCCTAGTAATTGGCAAGAAATCAAATCAGTCTTCTTTAAGTCAAGTGTGTTTGTGACAGTAACTGGTGTGTGAAGTACTGGAAAACTGGTTTAAAGAGTTTGACGAGCCAAGGATAAGTGAACTACTCTGACAAATTAACTAGTCTTTACTTCCTGTGATACCTTATGCATGTTGTTTTCAACACATTTCTAAAAATACTTGTATTTAGATAATTTATAGTTCCATCTTGACAAAGCGTTATAAATTATATAGCACAGCCAACAAAGCATTTTAAAGTCTGTATTTAAACATAAGGATAGTGCACTAAAATCATGCATATGCTTTAATATCTTGAACCAGTAGAAGCAACACCTTAACAGATTGAAGACACTCACACAGGTTATTTTAACACCAGAGTTACAAGGTAGATATTTTAGAACAGATACTGAAACACAGAGACAAAACAAAGCATTGTTTAAAAAAAAATCAGAAACCATCTGAATGCCTATGACTATATACAGCTCCACTTGAAAAAAAAAAATAAAAAATCATGTTGCTTCACTCAATTTAACATCTGATTTCAGTGCTAAACCATAGGACATACGTCTGTGTGTTTATGAGGAGAGTATTTATTTCTCATAGAATTAGCAGTGAAAAAGCAGGACTACAGATTTACAAAGCTGGAACATTTTACGTTAAGTCCTAATAAAATATGTGCCAAGTATTTCTAGAAATGAAAAAAAAAAAGAGATGCTCATAACTCTTTTTGTTAGAGCCTAAGACACCTGAACAAGTGTTGTACCTATGTTTACCCCTTGTCTTTTTAAGAGACAAAATGTCATGGCAGTTTTCTGAATTCTCAAGATGCATTTAAATAGAAACTGGTGTTCTCTAAATCAAGTTTATTGAGATCTAGGAAAAAAAGAAATCTGTAAATTAATAGATGTGTTAAGATGGAATACTATTATTGCACATCAGATGAATTCAGGGTTCACAGCAAGAAAGAAATTATTCTCACTGTGATCAGTAGAAGGTGAGACACGCGTAAGTACTGGACACACACTTCCTACATCAAATGTCTATTTTAGCAGAGAGCTATCATAGCTGAGAGCTGTCATACTGAGTAATTTCTCCAAACAAGTTTCAGTAAGAGAGTATGACACTAGACTGAGCTCCCATGTGGATGTGTGTTTTAGTCAGTACGTAAACACCAGGATTCTTTTACCCTTTTTTTGCCCTTTTGTAACAGCTTCATTCATCATTGAAAAGGGAAGAACAAAATATATGCTTTGATCTGAAGAATGTAAAGCATTTTTGGAAGTAGATGCTGCCCAATCACAAAACACAGGTTTAGCATCTACCTATTTGCAAGGGCAACATTTTCCTCTTTAGCAGTTCCTTCTAATCATCCGCCACTGAAGAACTATAAAACTGTAGGATTTTTTTTTCAGTCCTTTGAGTATTTCTAAGACAAAATGTTAAGAAATTCCGCATAGAGCATGTGACTCTCCTGTTGATAAACTATCTCCTGAGAGACGCAAATACGTGACACCTCTAATGGCATTATAAATGTGACCTAAATGAAGGGCCTGAAAAAATGGAAGTGGGAACTGTGAACTGTGAGTGTACAGAATTTCATAGAACATTCAGTGCAATTCTGTGAAAAAGAAAGATTGGTTATCTCTTTTGCTTGTACACACCTTTGCTGATATTTGGCTTTTTCCTAAGTTCCTTTCAAGATAGTGTTTTCCTCAAAACCTCAGTGCTTTTTTTCTGTACTTAAGATATACTGGAAAATCTATCTATTGTGTAAGCCCAAAACTATTGCACAAGCCAATTATTTTGTGCCAAAGTTGGTGATATACAAGATATACTCCCACTATGTAACTTTCAGTTTGATTTGAGAATTTCCTGATTTTCAAGCATTAAATACTGTTGATTTTTCCAAATTGAAATGTGCCAAAGGCCAGATACACATACTAGAAATCTAATACCCAACATACGTAAGGATTTCACCAAACTGAACACTACAGTTTATACAGCTTACACAGTTTGTAAAATTTAGGGAGCTAAACCTCTCTTTATTTTACTCTTTCTACAGAAAGAGCTCTGGGGAAGGACATGTGCTATACATAACTACAGAAGCTAAAGAATCAATTACTTTTTCATTTGGTCGATTTTAAACGCCCTCTTTCACATCCATTTTCCAAATAGAATGAATCCATCAACTTCTGCCAGGACACTGCTCAAAACCAGCAATTGAGTGGTCCTTCAGGAATGTCAAGCAATGGCAAATTGATCCTTTGCAGACCAGGCATCTTTAAAATCTAAAATCTAGCCTTTGTCTAGCTATTATAATGAATGAGTAGATTTTTACTCATTCATTATAATGTTGATTATTACTATACATAACACAGTGTTGGCACCACTCCTACTTTCATCAGTCTGAATTGTGCATGCCTCAGTTGAGGAATAAAGCCTGGATTTAAGAAGGAAAAAAAATACAAAATAGACCAGCAGTCCAGAATGGAAAGAATGAACACAGTAAAGAATGAGTATCAGGGTCATGGTCTCAGCCCACAAAGAATTTCACATCAAAACAGTCTGTAAAAGAGGATAATATTGGTCACAGTAAACAAAGGACTATGAATCATGAGATGCTTCTCTCAGTTTCAAAGGGGGAATAGAAAAGAAAGAGTTTTAGTGAGTACTGAGCATGTAAGAAAAATCAGTGAGCAGTATCATTTCCTCTCATAGTTCAGAAGGAATGATGAAAGACAGAATTAGGCTGTTTTTCTTGTTTTACTTTTTCATTGCTGTGAATTTAACTTATTCTGATTGCATTAGAAACTGAATGATAAATCTCACATTCTGAATAATCTTACGCTGTACTGGATATTTCACCTCGCTTTGCCATTTAGACAAAAAACTCTCTGGCAAGATGACTTTCAGTACTTTTACCTTCAAATAAGGTACCTCAATTTTTATCTAGGCCTTCATGTCTTAGCTTCTCTGTTGATGGGACTGTATTCCATGCTCTAGTACAGTTAATAGTAACTGTCCTCATACATGGAATGATCCTTCCGCATTAAGGCAGAATTAAAGGTATGTTCAGATAGCAGACCATAAAACTATTTTAGGAATCATAATTCCTGTAGAAACACACTCTGTTTTGACTGAAAAGATAATGTAGGTGAGCAACTTCTGTAAGATTCCTAGTGCAGAAGTAGTTTTGAGTGAATCTCCTCTGTCCAACATAACAGCTCTGTTAGAAAATTTATATGGCAAGCACCAACTCTTCCCAAGTCATTAGGGACTGCAAGCAAATTTATTTTGAGTTAAGAGTATCAATCTTACTATTTTACCATAGACTGTAATGTTATAAATTGAAAAGTAGAATAACTGAAGTTAGTTAACACAATAATTTATACTGAAGCATAAAGCCACTAAATCCTTATTTAAAGCCACTAAATCCTTATTTAATAGCATATGTCAAACCCAGAAAAAATACTTACACCTACACAGAAAAAAACATGTAGATGTGGCACTTAAGAGTCATAGTTTAGTGAGCATGTTGGTGACCAGTTGATAGACAGAGCTGATCACCTTAAGAGGTCTTTCCCAACCTTAATCATCCTATGACATAGACAAACAGACATAAATATACGCCTAAATGTTTTAAGTCATTACCAAAATGAGGAGAATATAAACAAAAGGTAGGATTTTTATTGTTGTTTTTTGAATAACTTTTTGAACCATTTATCTGATGGTGAACTACATTTGAACTTCATCCTGAAGTCCAATTCACTTATCCAGCAGTAATATCACACAACAGGAGTGAAGGAACACAAAGAGGAATCAGAAATAATGCCTCTTTGGTGCCATTTCTATTGGTCTGAATCAAAACACTGCTTTGAAAAGGACAGTTTTTGCATTACAGAATTACAGAATGGTCAAGCTTGAGGATACCTCTAGATCCACCTGGTTCAAACCCTCTTGAAACATGTTGCCAAGGACCATGTAGAGAATCTCTCCAAGGAGGAGATTCTACAACCTTCCCAGGCAGCCTGTGCCAGTGCAGCACCACTCACACAGTAGAAGTGCTGGCTGATGGTCACAGGAAATCTTTACTGTGCCAGTTTATGCCCACTGTCTCTTGTTCTGGCTCTGTTCTTTTTGTACTTCTCCCTTCTAGTACCTATACATATTGATGAAACCTCTCCCGTTGTCTTAGTACTTGACAGTTGATTACCTTTTATCAAATTTCAAAACATATAACACCCCCCATTATTATTAATGCTGCATCATACAATCAGTAAACCTGACATAAAATGTAATGATGGAAGTGATTTTAGGTACGTTTTTCAATTTACTTACCTCCAATAGGTAATCTCCTACATATTGCAAAGGGTAGCATTGAGCTTCAGAGAAGCATTTCTCTTTTTGCACAGGAAAAAATTTATTAAGGACGAATACATGAGTAATATCACTCTCGACATCCTGAGATGAACACACTGTTGCCTTTCCAGCTTCTAGAACTCTAAACAAACAGATTTGAAAAGACATTATTTAATGCATTTTATTCATAGTGCTTCACATTAATTTTCATAAACTACAAATATGAGAGTGTAGATATATGACATTCCCCAACTTTCACCAGGTTAAAAAACTGCTTAATAGCCATGAAAAACAGAAGGAACATACTCAACAAGGCACCTCTCTTCACAACTTAATACTATTAATTAAAACCAGTGTAAGCATCCCACATATCTGACAGAAAGCTTCACTTGTGTATTAAAAAAGTCAAATTCTTAGATGACAGCATTTGTAAGTTATTGCATTATGATATTTGATCCTTCAATTAAGAGTTGTGCTACCAGCTAAGTACCAAAAATGGAACACTGCCTTTCCGAATTATAACATGCTGTCTTCAGGATGCTGTTTGCCAACTTCACAGGCTGTTCCAAAAGCAATGCCTCCTATTTATTTCCATGTGTCATGGTTTTATAATTTTTTATTGGTATTCCACATCATAACATCATGTAGTGCACTGCAAGTTAAAGAGTTAATGCTTCAGTTCCATGGACTGCCGATAATTCCAGGTACTTTGCATTTCTGTTCAAAGGGAAAGATAAAATCTTTGCACATCACATGGCTCTCTTCTTCCTTTTCAGCTCATCCCAGCAGTGTGTGTGCTCACCTTCAGCATTACAGTAGAGCCTTCGGTTTCTTCTAGACATTCATTGTATTTATTAACTTCAATTGTACTGTATTATATTGTGTTATCTTGCATTCCAATATCATATTTAGCAAATTAACTTTCCTCCTCAGATTGTTGCTGTTTTGTTTTTAGACCCATCCCCCATCTAACTGCTCTCTCCTCTTTTCCCTTTCCTGGGCCATGGGTATATGGGTCCCTCACCCCATTAGCCATGGAACTGGGCTGAACCGCCCTGTAACTGTTGACATCGTAGAAACTACAACAGAGATACAAAGAGCACAATAGTACTATTTGATAAAGGAAATTCTCTTCTACAAAACACTCTTTTTCAGTCACTACTACTAGCTATGCATTTTCGCCAGCAATGAACAAGAGTCTGCATGCCATACTTACAAAAATGTGTATCATTGGAGGCGATCCACTGATTCAAAGCTGCTATGACAGTACTGTTGCTAGGAAAATGTTGCCTATACAGTCCATCTTTCATTGATCTGAACAGATGGAAGTCATAAGGCATCAAATCTGGACTATACAGTTGGTACAGCAGGACAATCTAGATTGGCAGTGTATTCCACGGCCTTCAAACTCGTATGGGGCCTGGCATTATTGTGTTTCAAGAGAGTGTATTCTTCTTTGGTCCAATTCTGAAAGTTTGAGCCTACACCTTACTCTCCATCATGATGTAGTAATCAGAGCTAATAGTTTGCCAGGTTCCAGGAAATCCAGAAGGATCACCCCTCTTCTATCCCAAAAGATATGCTTGCTGAGGGCTGCATCTTGAACGTTTTCTTTGACGGATAATTCACATGTTGGCCACTCCATGGACTGCAGTTTTTACTCCAGCTCATAGTGGTCACTACATCTCGTTGTCACTGGTAATGATGTGACCTGGGAAACCGCCACCTTCAGTCCTGTACTGGCTCAGTAGTCCTGAAAAACTCGCATACGTGTTCTTTCTCTTCCTGTTTGAACGTGTGTGGCACAAACTTTGTGATGATTCAATGCTGCCACCATAGCTTCCAATGCATTGAAGCTGATATTCAGTTCTGCACACTTCCCTGATTGTAATCTAACAATTTGCCTGCATGATTGAGATGCTCTTCATTTCACGGTGTGACAGCTGTGCATGGCCATCTAGAATGTGGCTTGCCTTTCATGTTTCATGTCAATGTTGCCACTGCTGAAATTCCAGCACCCAGTTCCTCACAGTGCTCAAATTCAATGTTTGGTCTCCTTAAACTTTCAGCAAGCATTGATGAATGTCAACGGATGCCATTTTTCAGTCATAGAAGAATTCGCCTTTGCTTCTTACGTACTTCTATGTCAGATACCATTTTGTCAGACTGCTCCCCTGCTGCCATTTGTCACATGGCAACAACATATAAGAGGATAGTGGTGAACAGGTTCAACCTCTACTGCTGTACCATCAATATCTGCCTGATGTTGTGGGCCAATATAATAAAATAGGAGAAGTTACTTTTGGAAGCAGCTCTACTATTATTGAAATATCAGTTTTTCCTCAAAGCTATGGTGGCTTTCATTACAAGTAATATGTGCTAAAGGCAAAAAATGTCTACCTTTTTGTGTATTCTGACAGAATAAAAGGATCCCAGTTGTTGGTGTCTGGCAAGCAGTATTAAAAAGAGACCCTCTTTTCAACCTGTCTTGCTGATGCAGAGAGAACATGGAAAAAAGATAGTCCCAAATTTCTCACACATCATTTATTTTCTATTTCCTTCATATTTTTTATCCATTCCCTTCTGAACTACCTGCATTTACACTATATCAGAAACGTTTCAATAAAAGTTAAGTCTTCAAAGCTACATAGGCTTTGCATACATTTAAAGCACATAAAACAAGATAACAGCAGTTCAGATCCTTATGTCATAGTTCAAAGCTAGCCCAGGTCTTCCAACCAATTGAGATAGTATAAGCTGTTCTGGCTACCATTTGAATGCAACATGCAAACAAAATAAAGCAATACTCTGATAAAGTGAAAGCTTATTTACCTCGTCCTATGAGGAATGTCTCTGTAAGCAGTTTACTTTACTAAAACACAATAACGCTTATTATATTTACCATTATACTAAAAGAAAACCAGAAAAGCAGTGATACCAAAGAACTTAAGGATTCTTTTTTTTTTTTTTTTTTTTCCCGTAAATTGTATGGAAGTATATTGATGAAAATGACTTGAGAGTTTGAAGAGCCAGAGGTTGTTATGGACCAGATCAGTGGGAACGGAAGAAGACCTGCTCAACCATATGATAAACATTCTATTGTTCATTTTAAACTTTAAAACAAATCCTCCTACCTTCTAATAGGTGCCACTTGTTTATAACCTTCCTTAACAGCGAGGATAACTTTCCATCTGTGGAAGGCCCCAGGAGCACCAGAGTTTTTCAGCTCTTCGCGCCATCTTTTAGGTGCAGATTGCATTTGAGGTGAATAATGGGTGTCTTTTTCAATTTTATATCCCCATTCGTATGTTGTTTCATCAAGCCATCTGCCACTTTCGGCACTATTAATTATGTACTCCTTAGTTAGTATCCACTTTCCTAAAAAGCAAATGAACTGTCAACCACAAAAGATTTTTTAGCGCAGACAAATGGCAATCAACTGAAGTTCTACTATAAAATTAACTTAAACTTCTCTTCTGCAAATAAAAAGTGGAATTACAAGTACCATTTGAAAAACTTCTTCCTATTACAAGAGTTCTCATCTTTATGCTTTAAATTCAGAAATCTCACAATACCACTGAAAAAGATCACTTTGTTTTCTTTTAATGATCAAGTACCTTTTTACCCTTCCCAGATGAACTACTTGTCTATCTGCAAATGGAAGATTTCAACTTCCCAGATTTTGTTCTTGCAAGGAATTTAGCTACCCTTTGTTTTTAATAGAAGTTGACACTTTTACAGAGTTACCTAGGCAGATCTGAGGTGCATTTGGTGCACTTCTTTGATATGTAACAATGCTGTCAAAGCGCATTTCGGATCCTTTTTTTTTTGGCTAAGGAATTAATTCAATACACTGAAGAAATATTTTGCCTCTGACAATTAAAAATAAGGAAATAAAGATTATGTTTTTAACATGCAAGCTGTTTTACTAACACCACAAGTATAGTGAATACCAATACTAGGAGGATACGGTTTTACGCATTTTTTTTTTTTCTTTCAACCTTTTCCTGTCCTCCTTTGGCTCCACCTCCTCCACCTCTCTTGTTTTACCTTCTGCATGTATGCTTCTGATACTGCACATAATGATCTTCCCCTTTTTCTCTCTGTCTCTATTCTTATAGGTTCAGATCAAGAGCTGTGGTTAAGTAACCTGCTCCTTTTTTTGAAATACTACCTACAGAAGATACTGAAAGAGAAATTGACTTGAATTATGTGAACTTAATTGGTTTTGCAGAACAGCAGGTTTGACTGGCAGAACGTCTCAGTGCACAGACGGTACTTCTATATAACCTAACACTTCCACATAACCTAGCATAGGTACCAGCACACTTCTGACTGCAACAGGTATGCTGTGCACAACCTGGATATTAAAAATCCCTTTCATTTTGAAAATTCTATCTCAGAAATTTGTTCTGCTGGGGACTTCATGAGAACTGGCATCCTTGTCAGTATTTACATTCACTAAGACAAGTTTAAATGTGATCACAGGAAAGAATTACAGTAGGAATGAACACGTTCTGTTATCAAGGGCAAGAATAATGATTATGCAAAACTGGTGCCTCTTCCAGATTAAGATGTATTAGAAGGTACATAACAAAGTTTGTAAGAGTAACATAAAAGTTTTGCATTAGCAAGTAGGTAGTGGTGTCCATTTGTTTAAATCTCCAAAACTAGAAATAGATGGATTTGATATCTAAAATGTGTAGTTTCAAGAGTTAAAATGAAATGCTAGACCAGAAATTTATCCATATTTTATTATTCTTTTATATTTTAACATTCTTTCTCTCATGAAAATGTTGGTCTATCATCTACTCTCTGATACCAGTTTGATCCGAATTTTGGACTGCTACAAGTAACAATCTATGGGTATTCCTAAATTTGAGCAGCAGTAGATGAGTAAGAATGCTTACAAATATAGCATATAAGTGTACGTATATACAGTATACAAGTGTAAACATAAAATCATTCATTTTTCAGGTATCTTTATACTTAAGTCCACATTTAGATACTTCTATCTATAATCTCCTCAATTCAAGTAAATCCTGCCCAATAACTGCTTTATCAATTTCTTATAATACAGTATGGGAAAAGATCACACTTAAACAGTCAAAAAATGAGGACCATGAAATTTTTCAACTCCTTAAAATTCTCTAAATTTATCATAAAACTCTTCCAGGGAACACATTTTAATACAAATCTTAATTAATTATCATTTTAAATGCACTTTTAGTTGCTTGACCATAGCATTTTAGCATCAGAACCTAGGTAAAAAAAGAGCAAGAGACTTGTGTCAGTAAAAAGGCAGCAGCAAGAATCTGTAGTTCTCAGTGGCTACAGTAAGCAGAAACTTTGTGATAGTGATCTTTGAACAATGAACATTGTATTGAGTTTGGTATCAAAAATCTACTCATCAGTTACGACTCTTTCCGCACGCTCCTTTCAAGTGAGCTGTTGTAGGGAAAGCATTAGGTCACAGCTTACGCTGATGATTTAGCACCTGGTGAAGGGATGTGGATGTGGCTGCTCCAGGGACTAAAGGCAACGTGTTTGTACCTGTGCTCCCCGTCCGACCAGAAAGGGTGGACACAGGGTGCAGACACTCTGGGCTCAAATAAGGGCCAAACACTGAAGGCAAAGCATATCTTGGGTCCAGGCTGCTTTCCGAGGAGTACTACATAGCCAGAGAGGGTTCAACTCTTCTCTCTGTATATAACTATTGGCCTACTAGTGACTACTTTGCCTGATATTACCAAGAACCAGTCAGAAGAAATTTCACTTCTTTGTGAACAGAGGAGCTGTTTTTAAACATTTACAATGTTTGGATAAGACTTCACGATGTAACTGATACATAAGAAACCTTTTATCTAGGCACAAGTGAAGATGAATTAAAAAAAAAAAAAAAAAAAAAGACACTGTGATATCACTTTGCAATAACGTAAAAAGGTAAATCTAAGCTTAAACACAAGAGCAGTAGAATGTGGAAAAGGTGTTTTCTGTAATTCGAAGGATCACAGAATTGTAAGGACTTCTGAAGTCCTTACAATGGAGGGGACTTCTAACGATTGATCCCAACCTCCTTGCTAAAGCAGCTTCCCTACAACTGGTCACACAGGTAGGTGCACAGATGGGTCTAAAGTCACAGAAACACAGAATGACCAGGATTGGAAGAGAGCTCAAGGACCATCAAGCTCCAAACCCCCTGCCACATGCAAGTCTACCAACCTCCACATTTAATACTAGACCAGGCTGCCCAGGGCCCCATTCAATCTGGCCTTGAACACCGCCTGGGATGGGGCATCCACAGCCTCTCTGAGCAACCTGTTCCAGCATCTCACCACTCTCTCTGTAAAGAACTTCCCCCTGACACCTGACCTAAATCTCCCCTCCCTCAACTTAAAACCATTTCCCCTTGTCCTGCAGTTATCAACCCTTTCCAAGAGTTGACTCCCCTCCTGTTTATAGGCTCCCTTTAGGTACTGAAAGGCTGCAATGTGGTCACCCTGCAGCCTTCTTTTTTCCAGGCTGAACAAGCCCAGCTCCCTTAGCCCGTATTTGTAGGGGAGGTACTCCAGTCCCCTGATCATCTCGGAGGACCTCTTCTGGACCCTCTCCAGCAGCTTCCTGTCTTTTGTACTGCGGGCTCCAGACCTGGACACAGTACTCCAGATGTGGCCTCACAAGAGCAGAGTAGAGAGGGACAATCACCTCCCTGTCCCTGCTGGCCACCCCTCTTCTGATGGAGCCCAGGATACCATTTGCTTTCCGAGCTGCAAGAGCACACTGCTGGCTCATTAAGCTTTTCATGCATCAGAATCCCCAGGTCCTGATTCTGGAGTACCTCCAAAGAAGGAGATTCCACAACCTTCCGCCTCTCCGGGCAGCCTGCTCCAGTGCTCCCATACTCTAACAGTTAAGAAGTTCTTCCTTATCTTAGTACAGAACATCCCTTATTTTATGGCTGTACACTACTGCAAGGAGTCTGCCCCCACTAACTTTACTCCCAGTTCATGAAATGAAAACCGAGTTTAACTGTTCAGTTCTAGTATTGGTTCCTTGAAATTTTAGCAAACCTACTTACCTGCAGCACAGGCAGCTAGGAACTTTTCACTCTTGCAAAGCTTTTTTGCTATAAGATGTGTGCAGTTCCTGTATTTCTAATTAAAAACAAAACAAGGCAATCACAACAACAGCTTTATCAATGGAAACATTTACCTTTTTTTGTTGTTGTCGTTATTAATACATAACTCTACATTACTACACCGTGTTTTACTTTATAGCTTGCTTTCCCTTTCCGCCTTAACCATCACGCGCTTTGATAAAAAATACCTTATTATCAACAAAAACACAGTCCAGTCTGAGTAACATCTCACGCAGTGCTTTTTTCTCTTTCTTTCTAAATCCAGTGAACTGGATTCTCCATTTCCGGCCGCCATCCGCCGCCTGTTAAGAAGCAAACAGACCGAGTCGCACACAGAGCACACGTTACGACGATCGTATTCGTGCCCTCACCGGCGCTCCGAGGACACGGGAGGCACACCGTGAGGAGCCGCGTTACCCACCGACACGCTGGGAGCTGCCGCGCTGCCGGAGGACCCGCTGAGGACCGCCGCAGGCCGAACGCTCACGGCCGGGCACCGAAGCCCCGCCACAGAGCGATCCCGGAGGAGCTCCCTTCTTCTTCTTCTTCCTCTCCTCCTCCTCCTTCTCCTCACAGGCGAAGCCGCTCGCCGCCCGCCCCGACGCACGCGGACCGCGGGCCCGGCAGGCGCCATCCCGCCTGACGCCAGGCGCACCGCTCCCCTCCGCTTTCCCGCCTTCCCCTGCCCCGCCCCCGGATGTGGCGGTGCGGCCGTTCCGGCCCGTTGTCACTGACGCTTCGCGGTCGCTGGGGCTGCTGCTGCGGAGTCGAGCGGGGAGCCCGGCCAGTGCGTAAGTGACCCCGGCTGAGCCGCCTTCCCCTACTTCGGCCAAGCCGCGGTGCCGAGCGGGAGGCGCTCCGAGACCTCCTCTGCTGGCGGCGGTGTGGGCGAGGCCCACGGCGTTGCGCACTTCCCGGCTCCTCGGGCGGCTGTAGCGGGGCCAGGGTGGGGGGGAGGGGAAGAGGAGGAGGAGGCGGTGGTGTGGAGACAGGCCTCCCCTGCGCTGGGAAAAGGGACCGGGAAGGCGGGGCGGGAGGGCTGTGCTGGGAGTCACGCTGGCGCCGCCTCAGGGGCTCGGCCGTGCCTTCTGCCACTGAAAATCACGGCTCTCATTGCTCGCAAGAGTAGGAGCTGGTCTTGCCGAAGACGCTGATAGAAGCCGAGCGGACCGCGGTGTAGAAGCAATAGAAATGCAGCCTCTAGCCCGGGGGTGCAGGTGCTCTGTGTCCTTCTCTGAGGCTCAGGATCTCCCAGGTCTCTGTTCCGCTCACACTGGGTGCTGGAGCACAAGCTGGGGCAAACTCATCCCTATCGAATTTAGTAACTTTTTTTTTTTTTTTTTTTTTTTTTAAACTACGAAGCTTCCTAAAGTAGTTTAGCATTCTAATTGTACATCAATTTCGAACTTAGAAATACTAGGATGGCAGTTGTTTTTCAAAGTGTGATGCATGGCTCTTGGTTTCTTGCGTCGCCTCAGACAGAGAATGGGTTGTACACGAGAAATAGTTCAGTGCATCATAATGAATAAAATAGGCTTTGTAGAACACTTTCTTTTTTACACTTGCAGTTGAGAAGTTGAAGGCATGCATCCTGGTTCACAAAGAAGAAAAGATTATTTGAGTTTTTTTCCTTAGAAAATTGAATCTGCTTTCTCCCCCTCCCATACAGTTTGGAGGCAGCAGTGGACAATTCGCTGCACACTGAGACAACTGTTCTTTTCTGAAGTTGTGTAAACTGAGATATGTAAGGCAACACTTTCTGAAGTGCTGTGTACAGCATCCTAGGAGAAGAAGCAAGGCTTTGAACTCATCACTGCTTTACAACAAGTATTCTAGGAGGAAATCAAACAAATATTTCAGAAACAAAAAGCAACCACTGGGCTTTAGACATCTAAAATTTGGCTGTACTTTGGGCACCTGGTTCTAAACCTGTCTGAGCTTGCCAACAATCAAAAATAGAAAATTAAATTTACCTGGCTTCGTGAGCCTTGTGCTGCTGCTTATAAAATATTCTGGTACCCCACTGACTTAGTGAAGATGACGGTGAGAAATTTATTTTCGATTCCAGTCTATGTTCTGATTTAATGCTGCACGTAAGATATGCAGCCATGCATTGAATAACTGTGAAGGAAAAACATTCATCCTGTCTGTAGACTCGCTGCTATTGTAACAGCAGGGTAAAGTTATGCAAAAGCTGTGACCGCTTGTGAAGACCCAGTGAAAACAGATTTAGGTTGCTGCTCTTACTGCTTAATAAAGTTTTTTATTATCTAGTTTCAGTAACATTGGAGCTATATTTTTGTGCTCCACAGTGAAGAAGCAATCATCATCTACCTCTGTCATTGGTGTTTATTGTTGGCACTGAAAAATCGTTTAACATCTACGTGAATATTTGGAATCAAATAGCGGTTTCTATTGTTTGCATTACTTGATTGACAGTGGAAATTAGTTGTGCTCTCTATTATGTACCTGTTTCACCTTTACACCTTCCCTAGTGAGTCATCATCACTCAATAGGAACTAGTATTGATTTTCATAATTGAAATGCAGGAAGTCCCAGACTTGTTTGTTTTTCAAAAACATAATTTAAAGTTTAGACTATGCTTAATTTGTAACCTCTAAATAATATTTGTTTGTTACTTGAAAATTTTCCGTATTAGAAAACAAGAGAGGAAAAAAATAAAACTGTCTCAGAATAATTAATTCTGTGATTATTTACTCATCACTCTTCAATTACTTTAAAGTTAAGTGTTATTATTAACAGTTATTAAGCAGTGGTAACTGTAGTGCTATGCCACAGGGCTCTTAACAGATTAGAGAAGTCTTCAGTGTTCAACACTGTAAGGAAGCTACCTGCTTGTGTAATAACTGTTGTCTTTAGAAATTGATATTTTTTTTCTTGAGTCTGATACAGAAAGTCAAAAGAAATGAGAAGTCAAGCGTTTCATGTTCACTTAAAAATATATTGTTACTGAAGTGTAACTTTAAGACATTAAGACTATGTTTTTTACCTTCCTTTTGGTGATGCCTGCTAAATTTGGGTTTCACTTATGCTCTTTCTCTATTTTTTGTAACAAATCTGAATTCTTTTCTGAATCTGAATTCTTTTTTCCTATTCTTACTGTGATCTGATCATAGTAGTTAAATATTTCTTACACTTTGTTCTTATTCTCATGAGTTAAGATTAGTTCTCATAAATCTAAGGGGTGGACTGTTTAATAGAAGCATGCTCCAGTACCCCTCGGTTTCTTTGTTCTTTCAAGGTGTTGGTCGAATATGTTGTTTACTTGCTCAGTATTATAAACTGTATTTAATCTCTTGGTCTGTGGGTTTTAGATATATTTCTTTACACTTTTTTTTTTTATTCTTAGGGCTATACAAATGACATTCCACTTAAAAAAATACATAATTCTTTATGTGTATTCATTTACTCGTTCACAAAAAGAATTGACTTTCTTTGTTTCCATTCCACATCTTTACCAGACTTCTTTCTGCTTCTTTCTTAGTTTTGTTTCCTAGAGAGACGTGGTTCCTCTCAGGTCCCTCCGAGTCTCCTCAGAAAGGTTGGGAAGAAAATACAGTGAAAATAGTGCTTGTGGATTGAGTTAAGTATAGGGAGATCCTTCACCAATTACTATCACAAAATACTAGGAAAAACTAACTAGTGTAGGGAGAATAATGTAATTTATTACCGACAGACACATCAGTGAGAATGGAAAGCAACTTTCTTTTCTCTGCTGTCTTCTGCTGAGTGGTGCAGAGGAACAGGAATGGGGTTTGTGGTCAGCCTGTAACTCTTCATCTCTGCCACTTGTTTATGGACTTTTTTTTGCCCCTTCAGGAGCTCACTGCCCCATCCACTGCTGTAGAGAGCTCTGCCTGGAGAACCTCCTGCGCTGACCTGAGTGCCTGTGTGGCTGCTTCTCTCCCATTTCTCACCCCTCTCTCCCAGCTGTTGTCGTGCAGCAGTGTTGCCCTCTCTTACATTTGCTCTCCCAGAGTGCATCCAACTTCTCTTGTGGCTTGGCTGTGGCAGTAGTAGGTCCCTGTTGGAGCAACTGGAGCTGCTCTCCTATGGGGCACTGCTGGGCCCTCAGAGGCCACCCCTGCTTCCTCTTCTACCAGTACCTTGCCATGCGATATCTTCCATCATACAGAGAGGTTTAGTGTTTGGCTGATTTACTACACAGTGTGAAAAAAGATTTGTTAGAGCTGTTTTTTTCTGTCCTCTTTTTAAGATTTTTTTTCTACTAATTTTTATACAGTTGTCACTCTCTGCTTGTGTACACATATATATATGTTAAAAAAAAAATTAAAATGGCACATGTTGGTCAAACAGTAATCACAGCTTTGGGAAAACAACCTGAAGCTACACTGAAAAGTCAGACATAAAAACAAAAACAGTACAAAGTGTCTCCACACTGCCTTCTTGTGGAGAAAAATCTAACTTTGTGTCCTGTTCTAAACCCATTTTTTAAGGCTGTCGTCAGTATTAAGCACCGACTCTGGCTTTGTCGTAACAGTGAAGGAAAAGTTTAAAACTTTCTTCTATAGCAATAAATCACTACTAGAATTAGAAGTAATAACATAATATAAATCCCCAGAAGCTAGAATAGTTTGTTAGGAGTTCTTCTGTGAAGTACTTCTTGTTTCTTTCATGTGCTGATGAATACAGGAATGGCAGAACGTGCACTGTTAAATGGTTGCTTTTCTTCAAGCTGTACTGACTGTGTAAACTCTCAATTATCATAACTTTGTGTTTCTGTTCAAAATCATCTTATATGGCCTTTTTTGGAGGAATCAATTATATTTCTCTTATTTAACCATTTTGCTTACTTTCATTTATTTATTTGCTTGTTTGTTTATTTATTTGGGGGCTTGGGGGTTTCTATAAGCTTAGCCTTATGTCCTGGCATTCATCTACTGTTCTGCCAGTTTATGTTATGTTAATGTGTGTTTTGTTGAGAGACAAATGTACATAGTGCAATTCCACAACTTGTTCAGTAACTCTTCTGTGAATGATGTCAAGCTATATCTGCTAGATACATGTATTAGTTCACTTACTAAGAAGTTATTAAAATGCACTACATCAGTGAACTTCAATCATTCATGACTTGTAGTAGATTTTTTTGTTTCTTTTCAAAATAGAGCAGGATGGTGTTTGGTTTTTTTAATATAATACTTTCAAGGGAAGTTTGCCTTAGGATGCTGCTGTATCTTTAGTCTCTTAAAGGCTATAGTACAGTAGTAACTTATGTATTCATTGGTGGTTTTTATCAGAAATAATACTCTTAAGGAGATAGTACTTGCGAAAAATCAATCCACAATCAACTGTCTGAATAATACAAAAAAAAATAGTCATATTAATGTAAGAACATATTGCCATTTGATAGGAGGTTTCTGTTCAGATAGGCTTGAAGGATTTGACAGTCAGTTGAGCCAAATGTGCTAAACACCCAATGTTTTTATTTTTCTCAGTGAGTCGTATGAAGAATTTATTTGAATTGATAAGAGATTTTGCCTAATTTCCGTTCCCCATCACACTTGTGGAATTGGAAGTGAATTGGCATGTTGTTATTCAGAAAATTACTGTCTGATTCTTCTTGTCTTTGGTATACCAAAACTGAGACATGTAAGTCAGTCTTCCATCCAGAGATAACACTCTTTGCTGTGAATGAAAAATACCTTCAGCTGAGGAGTCAGCAACATCCTTTTGTGATTTGTAGTCACAAGAGCTTCTGAGAACTGGAGAGGTCCTCCAAATAACTTCCTAAAAATAATCTAAGGATTGC